CGGGGCTCATACTCTCTCAAGGTGCTCATGTTCATGGTTATTGCTGAGTTTGACCCTCACCCCAGAACAGAAGCATGGCCAGGGAATAACAAATGGAGGAGGGGCTTTAGGACGTTGGGAGAGGGAAGTCGGCCCTGACAGTGGGCATGGTCCTGGAATGAGGATGCAGAAAGCGTCTAATCCACAGTATCACAGGTGCCATTATTTCAATTAAAACAGTTAAAAGGGGCTGGAGCATTAAAACAGCAGGGAGGGCGTTTGCCTTGCACTCGGCCAACCTAGGTTCAATTCCCGGCATCCCATCTGGTCCCCTGAACACCTGAGTGCAGAGCCAAGAGTAAGCCCTGAGTGCAGAGCCAAGAGTAAGCCCTGAGCATCTCTGGATGTGACCCAAAAAGCATAAATAAAATTGGTTAAAAACAAACAAACAAATAAAAAACAGGGTCAGTGGGGAGGGTGTTCGCCTTGCATGAGGCTGACTTGGTTTTGAACCAGCATTCCATGTGGTCCCCTGAACACCACCAGGAGTGATTCCTGAGTGCACAGCCAGGAGTAAGCCCTGAGCATTGCCAAATGTGGCCCCAAACAAGAACAAAACCCCCCAAATGGTTAAGAAACAAAGATAAAATCATTAAAATCATTAAACGCATGCGTAACACTGGCTCAATGCCTGGCACCACATAGGGTTCCCGAAACACCACCAGGACTTGGGAGCCCTGAGCGACACTGGGTATGACTGCGAGAGAGAAAGAGAGAGAGAGAGAGAGAGAGAGAGAGAGAGAGAGAGAGAGAAGAGAGAGACAGAGACAGAGAGACAGAGAGACAGAGAGAGGAGAGAGGAGACAGACAGTGACAGAGAGGAGAGAGAGTGTTAACCTCAGTGAGAACTGAGCCTTTCTCCAGGGAAGACTGAGCTTCCGAAAGTCCCAGAGGGCTTCCGAGTGGGGGAAAGTCTCTCCTCTGAGACAGGAAAAGTGGATTCCATGTAACCAATGTCAGCTCAACTATAAAGGTCTTTGACTGTGCTATCGCAGCACAGCGGTAGGGCGTTCGCCTTACAAGCGGCCAACATGGCCAACCCGAGTTCGATTCCTCCGCCCCTCTCGGAGAGCCCGGCAAGCTACTGAGAGTATCTCGCCCACACGGCAGAGCCTGGCAAGCTCCCTGTGACGTATTCGATATGCCAGACACAGTAACAACAAAGTCTCCAATGGAGACGTTACTGGGCCCGCTCGAGCAAATCGACGATCAACGGGAGGGCCTTTACCTTTACCTTTACGACTTTGATTTAAAGGAAGATCAAAACGGAGAAGGGACAGCTCAATGGTCGCCGCACATGCCCTGCACTTAGGAGGCAAGGCCACAAGGCACCCCAAGCACCAAGCTGGGAGTAGCTCCCACCCATCACCAGGGGTCCCCAAAACAAGAGAAAAAAGAAAAAGAGGACTCAGGGCCGAACTGTGCGTCAGTCAGAGGGGATGAGAGTCAGGCCCCTAATTTGGACTCGGAGAAGGTGGGCTCCCCCCACCCCAAATGCAGCTGGGCCTGGAGGAACATTGGTCCGTTCCACATGCTCTTGGGCTCCAAAGATCCTGAGATGAAAAGGATCGAATCCCCGCCAGGGCCACTGTCCCTGCAGGCCCGACACTCTCCCCACAGCTGCCCGCAGGCTCAGGGGCTCCTCTCCCGACCCCCGCATCCCCGACATGTGCAGGGCAGGCTCAGGGGCATGTCGGATGCCCTAGTGGGGGTGGGGGTGAGTGTTAGTGTTTCGAGAGTGGGAGTGAGAACTGGGAGCGTGTGTGGGTGTCAGGGTGAGTGTGGGGTGTGGGCATAAGTGTGGATACAGGAGAGACTGGGAGTGTGGGGGTGTGAGAATAAGTATGGGGGGCTGGAGCGATAGCACAGCGGGGAGAGCGTTTGCCTTGCATGCGGTCGACCCGGGTTCGATTCCCAGCATCCCATATGGTTCCCCGAGCACCGCCAGGAGTTATTCCTGAGTGCAAGAGCCAGGAGGAACGCCTGAGCATCGCTGGATGTGACCCAGAAAGAGGAGAGAGAGAGAGAGAGAGAGAGAGAGAGAGAGGATGAGTATGGGAGTGGGTAGGCGTGTGAAGGATGTGGGGGGTGAGTCTGAGTGTGAGAAGTGCGTGTGGTGCGTGTGGTGCATGTGAGAGTGAGTATAAGAGTGAGTGTGAATGTGTGAGGGTGAGGGTGAGAGTCATTGTGGGAGTGTGGGTGTGGGGGTGAGTGTGTGGGTGCGTATGGGGTGAGTGGGTGGGTGCGTGTGGGTGTGGGTGTGAGTGTGTGCAGGGGTGCCCAATCTGGAGGGGTCAGCCTGACACCTTTAGCTGCGGCCGCTCAAGACCCGGCCCCTAGCAGGAGGAACGCGACTCAGTGCCATGTGCTATTCCGAGGAGCACTCAGCCTCCCTGGGAGCACGGCGGATGGGGTGTGGACCCTTGGCTCTCATTTCCGTCAGAGCCCGTGTCACCCTGTCCAGTCTCGGGCAGCTGAAGGCCCAGCTGTGGACCCCTCTGTGAGGAGACGCGGCCCTTCCAGCTCCACACCCTTCCCGCCCCCCTCCACGGCTGCCGAAGTCGTGGGGGCGTGGGTGGGCGTCCCTGGGGGCAGGGCGGCGTTACCTGTGGCACGGGAGGACCCAGAGATCACTGTGGTGCTGGCGGCTTCAGCAGTCTCGTACTCTCTGAGAGTGTTTGTTGAGAGAAACGAGGCCGACTGGGAGCAGCGGACTCTCTGCAAGGACATGAGCGCGGGAGTCACCTTCCCGGAGGCCCCTTCTCTGCCTCAGTTTCCATCCCGGTCCCCGTCTCTCTCTTTCCCCTCCGGTGTTGGATGAAGGTGCGCGGGCGCTGGTGGAATGCTCTAGACCGAAACGGGTCTTCCTGCCAGTAAAACGCCATTTGTCTGGGCCACAGACGCACCTTCTGTGTGTTCTGGAAGGAAATCCCTGCCCTGTGACAAATGGACGTCTCTCTGCTGGTACAGTCTCCGTGCCCAGTGAGCCCATCTGTGTGGCACGTGAGCCACTGAAGGGCCCATGGCAGGGAGGGGGAATCTAAGGTTGGTCCTTCTGGAAGCTTCCCCCGTCTTCACTGTCACCTGTTCTCCCTTAGCGCGGAAGGGGCCCGTGGCAAGGAGGGGGATCTCATAGTTGTTCTGGAAGCTTCCCTCGTCTTCACTGTCACCTGTTCTCCCTCAACCCTGCAGGAACCGCATCCAGCCTCCACCCCGGGCCTCACCCTGGCATAATACTGGCGGTTGGAGCAACGGTACTGACAGAACTGGCAGAAGGACTCGAACCAGGAGGCGTAGGGAAGGTCAGAGCAGACGGCTCCTGGAAGAGGGGAGGGCGGAGGAGACGGGGCTCCCCCAGAAGCTGGCTGGAAGGCTCCTTCGCGTCTGCCTGCACAGGCCACATGGGCTCAGGGCAAGGGGCCACCCCCACCTTCACTCGCCTTCGGTCAGGCCTCACCATCGGGGACCAGGCCGTGGTTTTCGTACTGGTCCAGCTGGATGATGGTGGGGTTCCGGCAGCCGAGGGTGGCCCGGAGGCGACACATCGTCTCTGCCTTCCAGCGGGGCTTAAAGAGGTCGAAGAACTTCTCATACTCGGTGTCCGAGAGCGGGCTGCCAGGGATGGCGGTCTCGGTGGGTTCGTCGGCGGGTATTCGAGGCAGGAGCAGAGCTGCTGGGTTGGGGTGGGGCACGGAGCAATGGATGGACCCAGCCCCCGACCAACTGGACTCGGGGCCCAGGCCACCCAGCCGGCGGGGGCCCCTGTCCACGGGGACCTGGGGGTGCGCCCTGGCCTAGGAAGAGGGGAGGCCAAGAATAGAGAAGGAGCGGGGTCGGGCCAAGTCAGCAGCGAGGGACCCCACCCAAGGGAAGTTTCCAGAATGGCCAAGGCGCCCGGGGAGGAAGAGGAAGGAAGGCTCTGATGTTGCCGAAACGCCTCACCCGACAGGAATGAGAGAAGGAAGCCTGTAGCCTGCCTCTGCATGGCCCAGCAGATCTGCCCAAAGCGGCCTCCAACGGGCCAAGCCAGGGAGAGCCAGGGTGCCCGGCACGGGCTAGCGGGCAATGGGGACAGCCGGGTGGCCGCACGTCACAAAGGCCGGGGGCGGGGTCTCATGGGCCAGAGGCGGGGCCTCATTGGCCAAGGGGCGGAGCCTATGGGTCTTGGGTGGGGCCTCGTTGCCCAAGGGGCGGGGCCTATGGGTCTGGAGCAGGCCTCATTGGCCAAGGGGCGGGGTCTATGGGTCAGGGGTGGGGCCTCATTGGCCAAGGGGTGGGGCCTCATTGGCCCGCGGTGGAGCCTCATTGGCCAAGGGGCGGGGCCTATGGGCAAAAGGTGGGGCCCCAGAAACTGCCCTGGGCTCCCAGCTTCTGGATCTCGGGCACCCCCAGCCGCCACCACACGAGTCCCTGCCACCGTGGAGAGGCCCCTGTGTGCCACATGGACACCTCCTGTCCTGCCCAAGAGGACCCCCCTCCCTCTGCAGGGGACCACCTGCCTGTCCCTGTTTGACAGGTGAGATTTCCAGGGCAAACTGGGCAGGGCCAGCTGCAGGGCCTGGGGGCAGGTTCTGGACAGGCACGTGGTGTTCTGGGCCCAGAGGAGAGGCGGCCTCCACTGTGAAAGGCGCCAGCAGGGCCAGGAGGGCCTCAGGCTCTGACCCCCTCAGTCGCAGGAAGTGGTTTGCGCATGGGTGGGCTCTGGGGGAGAAAGTCCGGTAAGTCCAGCTGCTCTCTGGCAGGCCGGGGCGGGGAGGAAGCAAGTGCGTGTTTCTGGGCAAGACAGGGGATGCTCACGGGGTCCAACCCGGAACCCCTGGGCGGAGACACTCTGAAGTCCGGGTACCCCACCCCACCCCGGATTTGAGCAGTGGGGTGCAGAGGGCGCGCTCTGGCTCCACATCTCCTCTCACCCAGAGGATCCCCACCCCCTGCTGAGTCTCCACAATAAACACACCAGGCCCACACGGACAGCTTTTATTCACCCCTGCAACCCCCCACGTGAGCCCCGGCATCCCGTCAGCCCCCTCTCCCGCTCACAAGGCCGCGTGAACCTTTTTGGCACAGAGGGCAGGGGGTGTGCCCCTCCTATTAGGATCGAAGCCCATTAGTTCTGGGGGAGCCCCATGGATAAAGCAGGAAGTAATGAAGAAACTTGATCACACCGTAGCGTCCCCTCCCGAGGGCGGAGGCCGGGGAGTGCCCCGCGACTGCCTGCCCCCCAACGTCCTGAAGTACAAAGCCAGGGGAGAAAAGAGGACCATCCCTTGGGAATCCAGCACCAGCCTCGGCACGGAGGCAAAAAAAAAAAAAAGGACAGTGGACAAGACCACCTCCCTCTAAAGGGGTGGGCTGAATGAGAGCATAAACTGTTAGTGGCCGGGGCACCCCCTTTTCAGGGCGTGGCTGCAGCCTCAGCACCAGGAGTGGGGAGAGCGGGGAGGCGGGCGCCCCGCGGGTGCCGTCCACCTCCCCCTGACCCCCCCGAGTCCAGCACAGCCGTTCCGCTCCCCACCGGCCGGGCGGGGGGCATGGAAGGAACTGTGGTGGGGTCCAAGGCCCTTCTTTATTTCTTCTTTCTTTCTTGGGAGCAGCGTGGGCAAAACCTGAGACAGAACAGCCAAGGGTGAGTGAGCGCAGCGGGCCCGGACCCCCGGGCTGCCCCCACCACCCGCACTCACCATTTCCCCCGAGGCTTCGTTGTCAGCCCCACACAGGCAAAGTGGAACCACTCAATGGAACACTGGGAAAGGGTGGGGAAGGGAGAAGCGGAAGTCAGGCACCAGGCTGAGGAGGGGAAGAAGAGGCGCCCCCCCAGCCCCCCTCCCCCCGCCAGACCTCCCCCAGATCGCCAGGGGAGAAGTCCCTGGTTCTGTCCCCTCGGAGACGACGTGGCCGTGTGGAGGCAGCCGGCAGCCAGCCACACGCCCACACTCAGCCCTCAGCACCGCCCTGACCCCCAGATACACATACACACACCCATGATTAAGGCAAAAGGTTTCTCACATCAGGGTTGTCACAGCCAATCATCTCTCCATAGGAGACCTGGTGACAAAGGCAATAGGTGGGCTCGTTGGGATCCACAGGCATATCCAACACATCAGAGGGGTGGACACTGCCAAAGGTCACTGAGGGCATCCCATACTCAGGACTTCTGCATGCCAAGAGGAAGAGAAACGTCATCGGCAAGAAGGGTGGCTGCCGCTCTCTGGGTTTGGTTTCGCTCTTGGCTTTAGTGTCTGGGCCACACCTGCCGATGCGCAAGTCTACTCCTGGCTCAGAGCTCGGGGCTCGCACCCCGCAGTGCTGGGGGGGGGGGGGCAGGCAGTGCTGGGGATCGAACCCAGGGCCTCCTACATGCAAAGGCTCCTCTCCAGCCGCGGGAAGCTACCCCTTTAAACTCTTGGAGGGGGGAAACGAAGAACCTGGGAGGTGGGGCAAGAGCTGGGGGGGGGGGGGCTGCACCCCTCCATCCGGCAGACAGCAAGACGGGAAGGAGGAGGTCACTGAGGCGACCGGCAGGGCAGACCCGGGCAGGCGGGAGCACGGACGCAGGCACGTGGCACAGTGACCCCTGGCCCCACTTACGTGCGCACGAGTTTTAACTTCTTCTGGGTAGCCTTGGGGGCCTCTTCGTCGGAGTTCTTTCCTTTGGAACGGGCACGGGCAGCCTTTTTCTCCTTCTGAGTCCGACCTAGGAAAGAAAGGAGCGGCCGAAGGGCAGGGCGACAGGGAGTCAGGTGCAGCCCGTCAGCCGCCTCAGTCCCAAGGCCAAGCGGGGGGAGCCCCCTCCTGACTGTCGCCCTGCCGGCACCTCTGTCCATCTTTTAGCCTCGGCGGCTCAGGCCCCACCACTAGCGAGCCCCTCCCCCCTCCCCCCTCCTCACTCTTTTTGCCTTTGCTGGAGGAGCTGTCGTAGTCGCTCGACTCGATCTGTTTCTCCTTCAGGTCGGCCTCGAAACGGGCCAGGTCCGTGTCGAGCCGGCGAATGTGCTTGTCCACCTGCGGGGACAGGAAGGGAGGAGAAGGGAGAGGTGCCAGGCCGGCCCAAGCCGGGCACCCGATCCTGAGGGGAGCCCGAGGGGCAGGCGGGAGGGAGGCGGGGGCCGCGGCCGGGGTCCTACCATCTCGTAGGTCTGCATGGCCAGCTGCACCTTGTCGTCGCCAAATTCCTTGCACTTGCCATAGGCCTCCTGGATCTGCTTGAGAAGGGCCAGTTTCTCCTCGGAGCTCAGGCTGCGAGCGCTGCTCATGTACTCGGTGGCCAACTTGTCAATTTCGGCCTTCAGGTCTAGGACAGGGACAGGGGCCAGGTGAAACACTCTTGTTCCTCTGGGTGCCCCGGCCCTTTCCACTGACACCAGAACCTTCCAACCAAATGACGCCGAAGGCAACTAGGTACCAGGCTGGGCACTCGGGAAACACAATAGACCGAGAATATTTGCTATCTCGGTTGCCTCCTGGGGCTGAAAACATAGTGAACACGGTTGGAACGGAAATCACGGCAACATAATAACGCGTCCTTTACAGCTGCACTGACAGGAAATAAGGGGCTTGGCTGTTGTCCGAAGACGCGTCTGCAAGGATGCATTCCTGCAGGAACCACCCGTTCTGTCGCCAGAGATCCTTGGTTTCTCCTCTCAAAAATGGCCCACACTATAGACAGCGGAGAGTCCGATGACCTGGGCAGGGCATCTAATAGTGATGGTTTCCGGGTCTGCACAATTGTCATTGTTTAAAAAGAGACCTGAGGGCCATAGCAGCGACAGTACAGCAAGGAGGGCACTTGCCTTGCACGCGGCCAAGTCGGGTTCAATCCCTGGCGTCCCCATATGATCCCCCAAGTACTGCCAGGATTAAGAGTGCAGAGCTAGGAGTAAACCCTGAGCATTGCCGGGTGTGACCCAAAAAGCCAAAAAAAAAAAAAAAATTGTTCATCTTTGGCTTGCTCTATAAGCCCACGATCTCCCTGAACACATACCTTACCTGATGTTTATTTGGCATTATTTCCCCCCCTCTGGAGAAGCCCCTGTTCCCCAGTTAACATATCTTTCTTTTTCACCCCCAGATTTCAGTAAGCTCCATTCAATATCAACTATCTTGCTTCACTATAATAATAATAATGTCTATCTTTTCCTTAGACATAAATCACGGCTTTGAGAGACTCTACCACCCATGCCTGAGCATGGCTACCTCAGGACAAAAGATAAAACCTAAATATCTGTCAGCAGGTATGGGGGAATCGCTCCAACAGGTGTCAAGGACCTCGGAGAGGCCGCTCTGCCCACCGCAGGGTAGTTGCAGGCTCCAAGGAGCAACTGTGTTCCTCAAGGAGCTCCACTGACTCAAGCTGGCGCTTCTGTAAGCCAGAAGAAGCCAATGCATGAACAACTCAGACAGCAAGCATCTCTCTACCAGCCCGAGTTGCTGTCTCAAGCCTCATCCAATTTTGGGAGCAACACTGACAATGCAGTGGAGTCAAAACATTCGACCTTGGGGCCGGAGTAATAGCACAGCGGGGAGGGTGTTTGCCTTGCACGCGGCCGACCTGGGTTTGATCCCCAGCATCCCATATGGTCCCCCGAGCACTGCGAGGAGTAATTCCTGAGTGCGGAGCCAGGAGCAACCCCTGTGTATCGCCGGGTGTGACCCAAAAAGAAAAAAAAAAAGGAGAAATAGCAAGAACACGGCATTTCTCAAGTCTAGACACATGGCGGCAGTACATCCTCTGTTATGGAAAAACCGACAACAGCGCTGGGAATCACCACGGTGCTGCTTTCGAAACTTGCAGGAACTACAAGCGGAGAGGATGCTGACCCCGGTTCAATCCCCAGCACCACATACGGTCCCCCGGGTGCCACCAGGAGGGAATTCCTGAGTGCAGAACGAGGACTAAAGTCTGAGTACCGCGGGGGGAAGTGCCCCAACCCCGCCCCAACGAGAAAGAAGCCAGTTTTCCAGATCCGACCAGAGTATGGTGACATGGAACAGCCGAAGAAATGATGGGAGTCCGCCTAAGGCCTGTGAACTCCTCTGTACTTACCCTCTGTTCTTTGGTCCAGATCCCGCATGAGCTGAAAGTTCCTCTGCAGTTCAAAGGGGAGGTTTTCGATACCTAGTGAGAAGCAGAGAAACCAAGAAGCATTCGCATTCGCAGGCTGCTTACCTGCTTTCACAGTATAGGTCCAATATAGGGGCTGGAGCAGTAGCACAGCGGGGAAGGTATTTGCCTCGCATGCAGCTGACCTGGGTTCGATTCCCAGCATCCCATAGGGTCCCCGGAGCACTGCCAGGAGTAATTCCTGAGTACTTGAGCCAGGAATAACCTCTGTGCATCGCTGGGTGTGACCCCAAAAGGCAAAATAAGTAAATAAAGTATAGGTCCAGGGGTCAACAGCAGTAGCACAGCGGGTAGAGGTGTCTTGCCTTGCACACTTTCAACTGGAGTGTGATCCCCGGCACCCCATAGAGTTGCCCAGGCACTGCCAAATTTGTACAAATTTGCAAGCGCAAATCATTTTCCTTTCCTTGCTTTTTCTTTTCCTCCCTCCCTCTCTTCCCCTCTTCCCTTCTCCCCCCGCCCTTCTCTACTTCTTTTTTTTTTTTGTGGTGCTGGGGATCGAACTCAGTTCTCCTGCACACAAAGTATATACTTCAGAGTCAGAGGGAAAGTGAGGCAGATAGGGCGCTTGCCATGCACACGACCGACCCAGGTTCAACCCCCAGCATCCCACATGAGCACTGCCAGGAATGATTCCTGAGTGCAGGAATCACTGAGTGCAGTAATCTCTGAACATTGCCAGATGTGGCACCCCCCAAAGAAACCCACCAAACTGTGTGCTCTGCTGATGACTCACTTGTTGGCCCTCCTTTCCTTTATTTTTCAACCATTCCTACATGCTCCTTGTCCTCGGCTTACAAATGCCTTCCAGGTATTCATCTCACATACACACACACACATACACACACAAACTCATTTTGTAAAAAATGCAAATTGAAGGGGCTGGAGCAATAGCACAGCAGGTAGGGCGTTTGCCTTGCACGCGGCCGACCCGGGTTCGATTCCCAGCATCCCATATGGTCCCCCGAGCACCGCCAGGGTGATTCCTGAGTGCAGAGCCAGGAGGAACTCCTGTGTGACTCATCGCCGGGTGTGACCCAAAAGGAAAAAAAAATGCAAATTGGAGTCAGAGGCATAGTACAATGGGTTGGGGCTTGTGGATCAACCTGGGTTCTAAACCCGCAACAAATATGGTCCACTCAAGCCCTCCAGGACTGATCCCTGACTGCAGAGCCAGGAGTAAGCCCTGAGCACTGTCAGGCATAGCCTCCAAACCAGAAATTATTTTTTAAAAAAATTTAAAAATTAAAATTGAAATTAAAAATATAAATTTTGGGCCAGAGAGGAGAGTACAGCAGGCCGAGCTTGCCTTGTACACATCTGACCCGGGTTCAATTCCCATCACTCCATACCCCGCCAGGAATGATTCCTGAGCACAGCTGGATGTGACCCAAAAAGAAAACAGAGAATGCAAATCTGGGAGCTGAAGGTAAGTTAATGGGCGGGGGCACGTTTTGCATGCAGAGGCCAGAGTTCAATCCCCAGCACTACATGATCCCTTAAGCACTGCGAGGAGTCACCCAGAGCACCAAGCTGAGAGTAGCCCCAGAGCACTACCAAATATTGCCCCCAAACAAAAAATGGGCTGGAGATAGTACAGAGATGAAGACACTGGCATTGCATTTGACCTTCAGCACCACTATGGACCCCCGAGCAATTCCAGGAATAAGCCCTGAGCACTGTAGGGTGTGGCCCAAACCCCTTCACTCTGCCTCCCCACACCCCAGTTAAAAAACATTCTGGGCCAGGGATGTGGCTCAGAGGTAGAGCACCTGCCTTGCATGCGTGAGGTCCTGGGTTCAATCCCCAGCCCCACCCCCGACAAGCAAACCTGATCAAGTCCCTTTCTTATAACCCTCCGGTCACTTCCTCTGCCCCAGTGCCAGTTCTCTCCTGCGTACCCTGTCTTGCTTATCTCACACCAGCATCAGTGTGGTCAAACCCCCCCTGCTCTGATCACACATCAGAGCATCCTGAGTGCTTCCCACAGCGCTCTCCGTGCTGCCCTCTGGAACGCGCTGCCGGGTCTTCCTCCTCCGCTCCTCCTGGCCTATTCAACATTCTGCTCATTCTCCAAAGTTCCGCCACCCAACATCCCCTGGATGCCGCTGGCACAGTCTTCCAGCTCTCCACTTCTGGACGGACGGCAATTCAATTAATGACCCATCCGTGGGTATTTGCTCTCTGTCTCCCCAGACCTCTGGAGGAGCTGAGTGTTTGTCTTCTTCTTCCCTCATAGAACTATGACCAGGAAACAAAGTCCTCCATAAATACAAGGGCAGTGGACTGGAGCTATTATAGTACAACAGTAGGGTGTTTGCCTTGCACGCAGCCGACCTGGGTTCGATTCCCAGCATCCCATAGGGTCCCCCAAGCACTGCCAGGAGTTAATTCCTGAGTGCAGAGCCAGGAATAACCCCTGTGCATTGCCGGGTGTGACCCAAAAAGCAAAACAAAAGCACAAATACTTAAGTATCTCAGGTGGAAGGAAAATCTCTGCCCCTAACACCACACTCAAAACTTCGAAAATGTCTCCAGTGCTTTAAGCTTTATCTCTACATCTGCGACTACCAGTTTACTGCAATTAAGTCGCCAGCAATTTATGAAGGCTGTGATTAATCCTAACATATGTCTGTGGCAGCTGACACCATCTTCTTTCCTGGGAGAAGCTTTTTTTTTTTCTTTTTGGGTCACACCCAGCGATGCTCAGGGGTTACTCCTGGCTCATGCACTGAGAAATTACTCCTGGAGGTGCTTGAGGAACCATATGGGATGCTGGGAATTGAACCCGGGTCGGCCACGTGCAAGGCAAATGCCCTCCCCGCTGTGCTATAGCTCCTGTCCCAACTTTCAAGGATACCAAACCTCCACATGTATTTTCTGGCAATTCCTACAGGAATGTGCCCTTAGTATGTCCCTGAAATATTGTTTCCTTGAAGTTAGTTTAATTCTCTTCATGTTCTCGCTTTGCCCTGAAGGGTCTCATTCCCTCATGAATATAATAACCACACTTTTTTTTTCTTTTTGGGTCACACCCAGCAATGCACAGGGGTTATTCCTGGCTCTGCACTCAGGAATTACTCCTGGCGGTGCTCGGAGGACCATATGGGATGCTGGGAATCGAACCTGGGTTGGCTGCGTGCAAGGGAAACGCCCTACCCGCTGTGCTATTGCTCCAGTCCCCCACATTCTTAAGCTTCTGTCTAATCTGAATTAATGGTTCTTTCATTCATGGTTGTTACTCCTGACCTTGTGTCTCATAGGTTGACGACTTCACTGCCTGAGCAAGAAATCTGAACTTCACCAGCAAATTTTCCTCATTTTCTCTCTCTCTGCAGCTTACTGCTTCAGTTTCACCCCAGATGACTCCCCAATAACCACTGAATCACTCTGAGGCCGGGTCCTCATCTCTGATCCGCTGTTAGCACTAAGTGATCGCCTGTTACCAAGAGGACATGCCAAGTTTACCCTCCTACATAAAACTCTCTGAGAGCCTTTCTTCCTGGGGCCGGGGGACAGTACAGCAGGTACCATGTTTGCCTTGCCACCTGGCTGACCTGGGTTTAATTTCCGGCATCCATATGGTCCCCCGAGCGCCACCAGGGGGTGATTCTTGAGTGCAGAACCAGGAGTAAACCCTGAGCACCACTAGGGTTATAGCCAAAAAAAAAAAAAGTTTAAGTCATTTTTCCTGGAGTTGGAAGTGACAGTATCCTCTTCCTTGCATACAGCTGATCCAGGTTTGATTCCTGGTACTCTATAGGATCCCCCAAGTTCTGGCAGGAGTGATTCAGTACAGAGCCAGGAATAAGCCCTGAGTACAGCCAGGTTGTGCCCCAAACGCCAAATAAACAGACTCTTCCCAAAGACATCAATTAATTTTCTATATTTGAAAAACAAAATCACTTCCAGTTCCTCAGGAAAGCGAGGCCGTCTGGGGTCGGCCTGACAGCACAGCAGTTAAGGCACTTGCACTGCAAACAGTGGAACTAAGTTTAATACCCGGCACCCCATAGGGTCCCCCAAGCCCTCCTGGAGTGATCTCTGCATGCAGAGCCTGGAGAATTAGCCCTGGGCACCACTGAATGCGGTTCCCAAACAACAAAATAGTAAAAAAATAAATAAATGAAGACAGCTAAGGCAGCTTCCTTGGCTTCAAGTCCCTTAGAGGCCAATCTGGGGGCTGGAGCGATAGCACAGGCGGGGGAGGGCGTTTGCCTTGCACGCGGCTGACCTGGGTTCGATTCCCAGCATCCCATGGGGTCCCCTGAGCACCGCCAGGAGTCATTCCTGAATGAAGAGTCAGGAGGAACCCCTGATCATCGCTGGGTGTAATCCAAAAAGCCAAAAAAAAAAAAAAAAAAGGCCAATCTAGGTCCTGCATCATCAGGTGTCACCTCCCAAAGTCCCACCTCCACGTCCCACGTTGAACACACTGGCCTGGCCTCGGCCCCTCCTAACACCCTCGCAGCTGCTCTCTGCCACCTGCCACGTCTCCCCTGCTCGGTGCCATCCCGGAAACACTCCCCCTTTCCTCTCTCCCCCGCCAGCATCTCCCCCTCTGCACCGCCAAGTGACGGGGGGTGGGAGGGGAACAAGCCCCTCCCCCTCCGGCTGCCCAACTGCCCTGTCCCCGGACTGGGACGCTGTCACTCGTCACCCCCTTTGCTTTTTTTTTTTTTTGCAACGTCGTCTCCGAGAGTCCGCCCGCCACCGTCCGGGACAGGGGGTCCCGGCGGACAGGGGCCGGGTTTCTCGCGATTCTCTAGACCGACCCCTCCCACCCCCGACCCCTCCCCCGCATGTCCCTGCCGTTCTGAACGTCCCACGGCAGGAGCGCGAGTGAGTGAATGAATGAACGAACGAACGAATGAACGAAGACACAGCGGGCAGGACACGGAGGGGCGGTCCGGGGGCAGGGAGGGGGGCCCGGCGGAGCGCCCGCGATCCCCGCCCTCGCCCGGGGGGGAGCACTGAGAGGGGGGCCGCCGCCGCCGCCGCCGCCGCCGCGAGCGGGTCTTTGTCGCGGCTCGGAACGCCGGCGACAGGCTCCCTCCAGGGAGCCGGGGCGGCCGAGGGGCTTCGGGGCTGGGGGCGGGGGGACCTCGCCCCCCGCGTCACCTCCCGCGACCCCCGCCAGCCGCGCCGAGCCGGGCCCCGGCCTGCTGCCCCGCCCCCTCTGCTGGGGCCCCGGCCGTCTGTTCTCTCGCGGGGCCCCGTCACGACGGCGACCCACCGGCCGCCGGGCCTTCGGGGCCGGGGGGCTCTGCCGCCCCGACCCCCGCGGTCAGCTCCGTGACCCCTGACCCCCGCCTCCGGCCTGCGCTTACTGTCCAGATAATGTTCCAAATACATCCCCGCAGCCATCTTGAAGCAAAACAAAGCGACTTCCGGTACGCCCCGGAAGTGACCGCGCGCGGCCCGCAGCGAAGCCCCGGGGGCCGGGCCGTTTCCGCCCGGAGCGGGCCACTTCCGCCCTCAGCGACGTCTCCCCCGGGACACATCCGCCCGACCTCGGCCCTTTTCCTGTCGCCTCGGGAGCCGGGCTCGCGCCCACGGGGCCGCCGGCGGCCCTCTCGACCCACTTCCGCCCCGAGCTCCCGGTGCGCGGCGGCGCCGCAGTGACGTCACTGGAGGGCGCCATTTTGCATTCTGTAACTTTTTTTTCCCCCACCCGCCCCCTCCAAAACCGTAATGGGAAATAACGGGAAAGGGGCGTAAGAGCCTTTTCTCTTGAAGGTTTAAATGTCCCTGTTCGTACTGGTGCAGGGATGGGTGCTCGATCATTGTATAACTGAAACCCAAGCACAAAAATTTGCAAGTCGACAACTGTACCTCATGGTGTTTCACTAACAAAAATTTAAGGAAAAAATAAATAAATGTTATGTCCCTGTTCGGCCACTCGCGGAAGCTGCTGGCCAGAGCAGCCAGGCTGACTCCAGATGTTCAGGTTGGGCTGGAGTATGGTCACGCAGGATTTAAACCCGCCACCGCTCTGCTCACTCACAGGAATAGTCTTCCCAGACTGGTTCATCAATTTTTATTTTTTTTGCGGTGCTGGGGATCAAACCTACGCCTTGCGCATGGAAGGTGTGCAGCTGACCAGTGAACCACATCGCCAGCCCTTCTCTTTTTAACACTGAATCTTCATTCCTTAGAAATCTTACACAATGCAAACTTTTCTACAGCAGCACGAATTCTCCACACCTTCTTGCAGGGGGTCCTGACCTTAAACACTCCAGTGCCTTCTCACATCACCATGACTGGCAGTGGAGCACCAGGCTTGCGCTGGTTTCAGTCGAGGGTACCTATGTGAGGTTAGCATCAGGCCTGGAGCTCGGAGCTGTCATCCTGGGTCAGAGGTCACCTACCAACTCAGCCAGCTCCAGTACAAAGAAAATTACTTCTCACTGGCTGGGCGTTTGCCTTGCTGGTGGCCAACTTGGGTTTGACCCCCAGCACCCCTATGGTTCCCTGAGCCCCACCAGGGCTGGTCCGAGTGCAGAACCAGGACTAAGTGCTGGGGTACTGGAGTGAGCAACACTGGGTGTGGCTCACATACCGAGAAATAACTAAAAATAAAACTTACGCTCATACCTTGTAGTGGTGTCTTTGAAGACAGTAATAATCGCTCACTCCTTCTGGATAATTCTGTTAACTGGTGGGTATTGGCTTTTTAAAACAGGAACCAGTGCCTGTGTTGTGGGCATTGATGTGGGCATGTTTGTTCAGGACTGGGCTCCCCAAGGCAATACCCACAAGAGGAGGATCAAACTTCTCGCATGTGTTCTACCTGTTGAGCTATGTCCTGTATCTACCTAGACAGATATTTGTTTGGATCACATCAGTGGTGCTTAGGGGAACCGTATGGGATGCAGCTGAACCCGGGTCAACTGCATGCAGGGTAAATGCGGTACCCACTGCACCCCTCTGGCACCCCCAGACTTTTAATGAAGCGTTATTTTCACCCACATATTTTAGACCCGTGATTCTCAACCACTTAAGTACACCAGAGCTTGTCTGCTGAAATTTCTGGTCAGTGAAAGTTTGTGACAGAGTAAGTGATTCTGGAACCATATGCCCAAGTGAAACTGGATGGCACTGCCTTTGTGCCAGGCCACGAACCATTCTCATTCTTCACTGTAACGGTTGAAAACCAATGAAGTACAGCAAATGAGGGACCCTACATCTCTATGGACCGTTAAGACAGCAGTAGAATCTCAATGACGTTCCCCCTAAATCATGCTTAGATGGTGTCGGAGCCTACATGCTGCTTAGAACAAGAGTAGATTCTGGTTCTATTACCTACCAGGAAGGTAGAGCTCTCAAGGCCTTTCCAAGTTGCTGACAACAGTGTGGGAAGGCAGCTGAATATTCAAGAAACCAAGAAAGCTTGGCCTAATGGGCCACTGGAGACAGTGTCATGATAGAGACCACTAACACGCCCACCCTCAGCCCAAGTGAGCAGGCATCACTTGGTCGATTATCCATTTACCCAGCAGTGCTGAGGGCAGATGTGGGAGCTTTGTCACAATCTTCTCAGTGCCTCCGGGTTTATAAATCCACAAAAAGGAGTATCTAGTTTCCCCAAGTAGGCAATACTGCCCCCTAGGGGGCACTGTTAGCTTCAAAAATGTAGATTTGTAAGGAGTTCCTCACCACTCTCCCCCGCAAAAAAGCAAAATACTATAGGTCAAATAAATTTGGGAATCTCTGATCTAATCCATCTCTTCATTTTACAGCGGAAGCATTTCCACCCCCAGCGATGGCACAGCTGGGTGTTTAACTCCACATTTTGTATTTTTCAATAGCGTTACCCACCACTGGCCCACATCAATTAACTCAATCCTGGTTGTGGTTTCCACCCCCGAAAGCCTCTGGGCCCAGGATCCTGAGGACGCATCTCACCATCTAAAATTAACACAGAATCTGAGACTTGCCCAGAGGTGGCGGTCCTTTCAAGAGGCACCATCCCCTGCCTGTCGGTGAGTTCCCTGCCCCCACATTTACAATCTTGCTCTCACGTATGCAGGCAATATGGTCCCCATGACAGAATTTGCCCACGGAAAGCCCTGCCAACCAAGATCTCGCTAACATGCAAGCGTCCTCCTCGATGGCCAGGCATTCAGCACTCATCCTTCACACACGCACTGGAGCAAAACCTTCCACGGGCCTGACAGGCCCCCCCAAGAGCTTTTTCCCAGGCTCACATCAGCAGCGCCAACTGCCTCTGGTCCTTTTACACGAATTTATTTCTATACAAGGTTCTAAAAACACCCCTTTGTTTGTACATAAGTTTTTCTTCTTTTTTTTCTTCGTTTTAAATTGGTTTATAACAACTGGTTTCCTGGTGGGTCCTCCCCGCCCCCTTTTCTGTTTGCTCTGAAATCTGTCATGATTTAAAAAAAAAAAGGACAAAAGAAAATAAAAATGCCATTGGCCAGAAGACAGGGTGGGGGGGAAAAAAAATTAAAAAAAAAAAGACAAAAATAAACATCAAATATGAAAATTCTCAGATAATGCATTTATAAACACAGAAATGGTTACAACAAAGATGGCCGTGATGAGTGGGTATATATATATTTATATATATATATTTATATATAAATCCATGTCCGGCAACTGACCGTGGCACCTATGAGCAAAGTCCAGTCCTTGTGTTTGCCCTGAACTCTCCCTTCTCTGGAACGCCCTTGTCGTGGGGTTCCCGAAAGGACACGGAGGTCCCCCGGCCCCTCGGGTGTGGGCAAGGGGCAGAGAGCCCGGCCCGGGCCTGGGTGGGCAGAGAAGGGGCGAGGCTTTGGGGAGACCCGCGAGCCCTCCTTCCCAGGCCAGCCCCGGCCATCTCCGCCCTTGGCCCTCACAAACAAAGGAGGTCCGAGGACCCCCGCCCCGGGGATCTCCTCTCAGCGACAGGTAGGAAATGAAGTGAGACCGTGGAGGGAAAGAAAACGGCGCCCGGCGCCTGGGCCACGCGGGCCGGACACGGGGCCCGCCGCCTCTCGTCTTCTCTCAGCCCAGACGTGCGGGGGATTCTGAGGGTAAGGAGAGGGGAAGTGCCCACACTGGGAGTTTCTCTGAGGTCGTAGCAAACCCCTCCCCTGAGCACCGAACCCCCGTGATTCCGTTTGCTTGGAGAAAGCTCTGCTTGGGATGGCGCGCCCCGCTCGGCGGAGGTTCCTTCCGAAGGGCCGAGAACGAGGGCGGTATCCTGGGTGGGCAGCCGAGGCGAGGGAGGCGAGGAAGAGGGGCCAGAGCGTTTCCGCCCGCGGCCGGGGGGCCTAGGAGCTGGCCAGGTGCTCCACCTGGATGGTGCTGGTGGTGACGGTCAGGCAGATGTCCTTGTGGTGCTCCGCCGTCTTGTACGGGGTCAGGTCGAAAGAACACTGGGGCGGAGGGTTGGGGTTGCTGTCCCCCCCGCCCCCACCCTGGGGGGCGGCCCCGGGGGGCTGGAAGTGCGGTGGCTGGGGCGGCTGGGGCGGCTGCTGCTGCTGCTGCTGCTGGGACGCCTGCGAGGCCTGGGCCTGGGCCTGAGCCTGGGCCTGAGCCTGAGCCTGAGCCTGGGCCTGGGCCTGGGCCTGGGCCACTGCTGCTGCCGCCGCCGCCGCCTGCACTTGCTGCTGGAGATCAGGAGGGTTGTGTTTGCGCATGTGTTTCATAAGGTACGTTTCCTGGAGGAGACGGAGGCAGGAGGCCAAGGGGGAGAGAGAGGCCAAGAGGTTACTCGGAACTGGCACCCTCCGCGCTCTCTTCGCTTCCTACAGAGCACTGCTCGTGGGAGTCACTAGGGGCCCCGGGAGAGACGCCTACAGGGCTGGCGAGGGGGGAGAGAGTAAGATGGAGCCTGGGCTGCAGTGCGGCCCTTCACTGGCACGGGGAAGACCCCTCCTTTTCTCAGAGATCTTGTATTTTTTTATTTCCCTCCTCCTTTTTCTCTTTGTGGGTCACACCCGGCGATGCACAGGAGTTACTCCCGGCGGTGCTCGGGGGGACCCTATGGGATGCCGGGAATCGAACCCGGTCGGCCACATGCAAGGCAAACGCCCTACCCACTATGCTATCACTCCAGCCCCAAGTTGCTGTATTTTTTTTTTATGCTGAAGCAAGATAGACTGTTTGGCCACCCTTAGAGAGGCTTAACGGACCAAACATCCTCTCTATTCATCCTCAGCTGCAGGGTCTATTTGATTTGTTTTCTCTCTTCGGGGGGGATTTTGAGCCACACCTGGTGGTGCTCTGGACTTGCTCCTGGCTCTGTGCACTCAGGGGTCATCCATGGCAGGGCTCGGGGCACCTCACGGGGTGCTGGGGATCAACCTAGGTTGACCACACGCAAGGCAAACGTCCTACCCGCTGTACTGTCTCTCTGGTCCCCATGTCTTGCCTGAGTCTAAACTGGGACTAGGGAAGTGGCAGGTGACAACAGGGCTCTCTCCCCAGGGAGCGGGAACGCAGGGGCTGGGGGCACTCACCGACGTGTATGCCCGACTACAGATGGTGCAGGTGTACACCTTGGCATGCTTCACCGTATGCGTAGATAAGTGAACCTCGAGCGAGGCCGCGTCTGTGTACGCCCGATGACAATTGTGGCACTTGAAGGGTTTGTCTTTGTTGTGCTGCCGTCTGTGGGACTGAGGAAAGGAGGAGGCGTCAGAGCACCGGCCTCTGTTCCCTGCCACCCCAATCACTCTGGCCAGGCTTCCCGGGTCCTGGGCCCACCAGAAACGGTCCCAGGGAGTCCTGGCACTGCAGGCTGAAGAAAGTGGTACTTAGGCAGCGCACTAAGGCCCCTGACAGTACCGCTGAGCTCTGCCGGGTTCTTTCAGGCCTGGGGCTCACTAAGGAACAGCAAGACCATCCCAGAGGCTCTCAAGGCCAGAACTATTCTTTTCCTAGGGCCACACCTAGCAGTGCTCAGGGCTTCCTCCTGGCTCTGTGCTCTGGGATCACTCCTGGTGAAACCAGGGGACCATACGGGGTTCCAGGGCTGGTACCCAGGTGGGTTGTGTGCCAGGCAAGTGCCTGACCCGCTATTACTATCTCTCCGACCTCCACCAAACCAAAACTATTTTCAAACTAAGAAGTCCCTGCCTTTCGATTTTCTTTCTCCCACGAGTATACAGAGTACCAGAGAGATCATCGACAACAAGAAAATCAGGTCATTTTTCCAGGAACCCAAACATTCTTTTTTTTTTTTTTTTGCTTTTTGGGTCACACCCGGCTTTGCAAAGGAATTACTCCTGGTGGTGCTCAGGGGACCATATGGGATGCTGGGACTCGAACCCGGGTCGGCCGCGTGCAAGGCAAACGCCCTACCCGCTGTGCTATCGCTCCAGCCCCAGGAACCCAAACATTCTTAAAGAAATGTCCACAAATGGATAACCACTGTCACTGTCCTCCCATTGTTCGTCAATTTGCTCGAGTGGGCCCAGTAATGTAACCATTGTGACACTTGTTACTGTGTCTGGCATATAGAATACGTCACGAGGAGCTTGCCAGGCTCTGTTGTCGGTAGCTTGCCGGGCTCTCCGAGAGGGGCAGAGGAATCGAACTCGGGTCGGCCATGTTGGCTGCGTGCAAGGCAAACGCCCTACCCGCTATGCTATCGCTCCAGCCCCGATAACCACTAATCCTCTCAATCTTTTTATGGGGGATAGGTGGGTGTTCAGAAACATTAGCATGTAATGGCTTTGTTATTTTTACGTGAACCATGAAACAGTTCCTGAGTTTTTTTTTTCATTTTCAGAATAGCTAGAAAAAATTATTTTCTACCTCTCTAGGTTCCCCAGTGATCGGTAAGCAGCCTTTATCCACTCTGGGGAAGTCCATATCCTCTTCCCATGTTTTTGTTTGTTTGGGGGCCACACCCAGCAATGCTCAGGGGTTACTCCTGGCTCTGCATTAAGGAATCACTCCTGGCGGTGCTCGGGGGATCTCATGGGATGCTGGGGATGAAACCCAGCTCGGCTGGGTGCCAGGCAGGTGCCCTCCCTGCTGTGCTACCGCGCCTGCCCCAACATGTCCCCTCTTGAACATTTTCTTCTTGATCCCTCCACTCATGTCTGAGTCAAGCGTCATTCAATAAACACTCTTTTATTTTTGCTTTTTGCGTCACATCCGGCAATGCACAGGGGTCACTCCTGGCTCTGAGCTCAGGAATTACTCCTGGCGGTGCTCAGAGGACCCTATGAGATGTTGGGAATTGAACCCGGGTCAGCCACATGCAAGGCAAACGCCCTGCCCGCTGTGCTATCACTCCAGCCCTCAATAAACTCTCTTGACGAAGAAAACACCCAGCGCTACCAAGAATATGGGTGAGCATGTGAAGGGCTTCCCCAAATGGGGGCTGCCTGTGCCGGGGGGCACCCCAAGTCCGCTCACCTGCAGGTTGGAGAGCTGGGTGAAGGCTTTCTCACAGCCAGGGTGGGCGCATTTGTACGGTCGATCCCCAGTGTGGATTCTGCACGGGGCGAGAAAAGACAAGGGACGGGACGTCAGCAGGGCCGTGCCGGGAGCCGCTCGGAAGCAGACCTCGAGGCCACGGCGCCGCCCAGAGCCAGTCTCCGGGAGGCGACGCTGGAGAGCCGGGAGGGTCCGGCAAACGGAGGCACAGGCAGCCCCCGACGGGGCCAGACGCCGCAACTCCTACAGTAACCGAGCCTCACGCACGTGCAGAGAGTGAGGCAAGCACACCAGCGAGAAGAGGAAAACACAACACACTTCCTCCCGGACCCCTGCGCGACAGCCAGCCACGGGCCGCTCAGACTCCAGCTCCGCTCCCTGGAAAGCGCCGTTGTCAGACAGAGGGAGAAGAACGCCAAGTACGGAAAGTCGCCGAGATATTAACAACCCGTGCCATCTCCTGGGGGCTCTACCCAGCCGGCCCCTGCGTGACAGGACGTGCCTCCTTCGGTGCCAATTTCACCTCTTCCCCGACGCTACGGGGCCCGCATCGGGGCTTCAGAGCCATCGGGGGCACCAGGTGCTTCCGCAGACCTCGGAGAGAAAAGCTCGACCGCACGCCTCTTCCCGCGAGGAAAGCCCGCGTCGTCCTCTTCACCGAGCAAGGTGCCCGCGCGCTCCTGCGGGGAGTGCCCACCTCCGGCAGCAGCCGGGTGAGGAGAAACGAAGGCCGCAATGACTCTGGACTCCGGTACGGCTTGAGCGGCTGCACTAAGAGCTCGTCGGTCCTTCCGCGTGGTAAATGATCTTCCTCGCCGCACTGCAGGGTCAGACCCCAGCATCCGGAGGAAGCAGCAGCTCTTGGCTTTGCCCTGTGCCAGCTCTTCCCCAGGCGGGACTTGTTGGATTGGATGTGCGGCTCCGGGAATCCCTTGCAGCCTGGCTTGGCGTTGGCGGGGTCAGGGCCGAGCCAATGGCCGCCGGCATCCGTTCAGGGCAGGTGTCCCGAGTTGCACGTCGAATCTTCACCGCATCCATCAACGGCATCCATGGGGGGAAGCATCTTGCAAAAACCACAACGTTCTCGGGGAGGGCAAGGAGCACAGGCAGCTCTGCTTCATGGGAGCATCTTCGTCCGCCCTGTCGGGGACGCCAACGCCGCTCTGGCCCCGGGAGAGACGCTTCCGAGTGTCCGCTGGCGCTTCCACTCGCTCTGGGCGCTCGTCCGCCGGCTCTCTCCGCCGCGTGCAGGTCACGGTGCTCCGCCAGCCGGGCCTCTCCGCCAGCCACGTCTCTCCCCCGCCCCCCGCATGCGGGTGGTTGTGCGTGTCCGGGGCGGGGGAGGGGAGGGCATGCCAGCGGGGCGGGGCAGGAGCCCGCCACTCTCCCTTACCGTGTGTGCTGCTGGAGGTGGGAGAGCTGGCGGAAGGCCTTCTGGCAGTACGAACAGTTGTAGGGCTTGGCCCCCGAGTGGATACGGAGGTGCTGGGCCAGGTAGGAGGTGTTGGCGAAGGTCTTAGAGCAGTGCGGGCACTTGTGGGGCTTGATGGTCTCCGTGTGCATCTTGGAGTGGATCCTGCCGGGGAGGAGAGGAGGGAAGGGGGGAGGAGGAAGCCGTTCGACACCGGGGGGCTCCGCTCGCTCTCTGCCGGGTGGGAAGACGTTGCTTGATGGCTGCGAGCACCCCCGCCGCCCTCCTCCCAAACCCTCTCCGGCCGGGAGGGGCTACTGCAGAGGACCCCCGGAGCCAGATCGTTGCGGGTCCTGAGGCGGTGGGCCGGGATGGCAGCGAGGACGATGAAGCGAGCGCGGCGACCTACGGCTCCTGGCCGCCTGACAAGCCTTCGGTCTCAGTACCCCTTGGCCCGTGGCGGCAGGCGGGCGCGCACTCACCCCAGAAACCCTGCTTCCACATAGAATTCGGAAACAAGACCGGGGCGCCCGTGCCCAGGTGGGGGAGTTCGGGGGGGTGCCCGCAGCTCAAATGCACACACCTGGGCTCGGAACTGAAGCACAGAGTGAAAGCGGAGCCTGCGCGGCGGAAGATTTCCAAACACAGACAGAGAGAAACCGCACGCATCGTTCCGGACACCTCGCCCGCCCCCGACCTCGCGGACGCCTGCCTCACAACTGCTAGGACACGAAGAGAGTTCGGTTTTCCACGGACGGACAGTAGCGAGGGAACGGGAACGGGAGGCCCCCCGAGGGCCGAGGCCGCGAGGCAGAGAAGAAGAGACGGCGCCGAGGGCTGCCTTACCGGGTGTGCTGCTGGAGGTGGGAGAGCTGGCGGAAGGACTTCTCGCAGAAGTTGCAGTTGTAGGGCTTGGCCCCCGAGTGGATGCGGATGTGCTGGGCCAGGTAGGAGCTGTTGGCGAAGGTCTTGGAACAATGTGGGCACTTGTGGGGCTTGGTCTCCGTGTGGGACTTGGAGTGGATCTGCATCTCCGACTTCGAGTAGAACGTCAGGGAGCACATCCGGCACCTGGGCCAAGTGAGGGCAGCGGTTAGAGCCCCCTTCCCGCCGGGCGGGCTGGCCGAGCCCCGGCCCCCAGCCCCCGCCGGGGCAGCCCATCGGCCCAGGCCGACCGCAGGGAGATGCTCAAGAGCCGAGGGGCCAGCCAGGCCCGCGCACTGCCCGTCCTAACGGCCCGCCGAACCAACGGACGCCCTCGGTGAGCGCCGGAACCAGCCTTCCTCGGCCCGGGAGGGAAATCTGACTCTGGGCCTAGCGTGCGTGGCTCTCCCAGAGCAAGAATCATCTGCTAACTTCGGGTTCCAACTTATCACAGAAGCCCTTTTCTCAACGCCCCGCGTCTAAAGTGATATTCCTCGGGCGCTGCTTTCAGGACAAACCAACTAGGTTCCCTGGAACGACCTTCCTCCCGTCTCCTCGGAGGATTGTTTGCACCGTAAGAGTTTCCCCTGCTTCTCTGCCAGGGGCAGGACGGGGGCGGGAGAGTATCAGAATGAAGTGGAGGAGCAACCTCCCCATCCCTGCCTGATGTTTCTCTGGCTACTCCCGGGTCCTGGGCAGTCAGGGAAGAGTCACTTCTGATAGGAGCCAAGGTAACTGCACTCCGAGAGTCTCCGGGACTTGCAGAGACAGCCGGCCTCCACGCTAGCCCTGCCCTCTCCCCAGCACATGGCGTCAATGTTGCACTCCGGGTCGGTATCAACGGCATCCGAACACACTTCCGCGGGTGAGCCTCCTCCTTGCTCTACGCCCCACAACGTCAAACACAGAAGCGTCTGAGATTAGGGAAAACTGCCCCCTATGTGCGCGGGAGCCCTATCGCTTTCTTGACCAAGGATGGACTAGCAGAAGAGGGAAGTCCCGCATCCTTGGGTCACCCTCCGGCTGATCACCGGAAGGGGGTCTTCAGAGTGGGGAGCGAGCACTCCTGCCGTTTTTCTTATCCCAGAATGTCGGTAAGAGAGAGTGAGACTACAAAGAACTCTCAGCTCTAGCCAGGGATGGGCAAGAAAGTACTGACCTCCGTGAGAAACGGCGTTGACCCCTAGCACCGTAACAACCAACCAAAGAAGCCAACCTAGAGTTCATGAGAGAAAAAAAGATACCCGCCCTCTTCTCAGTTGGGGTTCGGTCTCTGTCTACTAGAACTCCCAGCATTAAGGCCAAGTTCTACTTCTCCAGTCATGCGTTAACTCTGAAGGCACTGACCAATCCCCTGCTGTGATCTGGGCGGGCCACAGTGATGATACGGTGTCCAGAGGACACAGGTCACAAAGTCCAGCTATCTGGCCTCTATGGAGGCTTCCGTGCAAGACGTCTTGCTTAGCTCCGTAAATCTCAACTTTGCGGCCTCTGAGACAGGGAGGCAAGTATCTTGCCTCTAAACACTCAGAAACTCGAAGGAAACCATCAGTATTATAAACTGCGCCCGTGCTAATGGCTATGAGCTCAGGCCACTCAACACATCACCTGAACAGAGGTCACAACGGGGCACATCTCTGTCACCTGGAGAGCCGTCTACCCAAGTTCCAAGATAATGGCCCAGGGTCGCTCGAATTTCTCAAGATGAGCAGAACCACACGTTTCTTCAGTCTCAACCCTCATTTACACGTGGAAAGAAACTAGTATGACTGGACACCCAACAGTATCCCAAATAAGGAACTGCTAAAAAAAAATTTTAAAAAAATTTTTTAAAACCCCAGAAAAGAACTCTTTCCATCGTTTCCATCCCAAAAAGCCTGTAGAGCGTTAAGGCTCCAAGCGCTGGCTCCGGGGGCGGGGCCCTCCCGAAAGACTGCATCTCCCAAGCGTGAGAACGGCTGCCGTTTGTCGCCGGCTGGGTCTCGCCAACCACTCCTGCTCGCAATCAGCCCGGTGCTCCAGAAGGGAGCACAGCCATGGTGAGTTTCAGCGCTCGGCCAAAGGGCAGTTATATACCCCCGAGCCCGAGTCAGGGTCCGAGCTGCGTTAGGCTCACACCGGAGGGACTCCTGCAAAGGCTGGACAGTCATGTGCCCAGAGTGGGCAGGCACTGACCACACCTCGATGGCCATTCCTCAGTTCCGACCCTGTGATCTCAAGCAGCCAAGAAAGAGGAAAAGTCCTTTCACCCAAGGGGGCGGTTGGTGGCTGTAAAGGAATCTGACTTTGGAGAAGGGTGGCAGTGAGTAGGGAGCAGTGGGTGAGGATATTAGAAACATGGATTCCAGCGAGCAGCAAAGCCCCGGTCACTGGGTGTGTCACCCCTTTTCGTGAGCGGTGCCCCTTGGCAATGCCATGGCCTCTGTTATTGTAAACTGATTTGGATTATCTCATTTCTTCCCCTACAAGGCTGAAAGGCCAATTCAAATATTCTGATTTCCCCTCCAACCAATCATTGACACAGCATCACCGACTCCTTTTACACACAGGAACCAAATGGCAGGGGAGAGAACCCCCCTCCCCCCACCTCGTCAGATGCCACACATCGGGCACAAAGACAGCTGAGCCACCAGCCATGTGGTTAAAGGACTCGCTGGGACTCCAGAGATCTGAGTTTCAGAAGAAACCCCTGTTCGCCCTGACCACCGTCTGCGCCTCTCACAACCAAGGCTTCTCCTGTACACTCCCACGCGCATGCATGGGGCCCTGCGTACAGTCCCCGGGGCCTGCACACTGAAGCGAGATCACACTTCACGGGGACTGAGGGGCTGCGGAAGGTCCCACCCTGGCTTGCCTGTGTCCGTCATTTCTCTCCACAGCGCAGTCTGGGAAAACCAGCGATGGCCTCAGCGTGGGTCCAAACACGAGACCCGCAGTAGCCCGGAGGCCCCTGGCCCTGTGGAGGATCGAGCCACTTCCCACCACTGCCCTAGTACAACTGACCTGGGCAGAGCCCATGTGGGGCGGGGGGGGGGGGGGGGCCGTCTCCCTGTAGGCGAATACCCCCAGGACCAGAGTCCTACAGAATCAATTGAAAAGGGACTGTTTTCAGCCTCGGACGTGACATAACAAGAAACGCCTTTAAGTGACTCAAACTTGTCAAGTACCTTTATGATACGGAAACGATGCAAGCGTTTTCCCGGGAGACTTTTATTGGATAACGCGTGGTACACCTGCAATAATAAAGCTGCAAGGAACTTTCGGATGAGCTGGAACTCTGCGTGCTCGCCTCTGTCTACAGAGCGACACGCCCTTCGTCTGCCCTTTCAAAGAGGGTCTCGAACCTTTGGCAAGTCGTGGCTACTCTCCACAGCAAAAGTGTACGATAGGAGAAAAGATACACGCTACACGCTAAAGGCCAGTCTATTTCTTATCTCATCTCTTCCGAATCTCTTCTGCCCCACAATCTGCTACCTACTCCCAACGACTGGGGGGAGGGGGCGGCATACACAGAATTTTCCCCATTTTACAGATGAGGAAACTGAGGCGCAGAGAGGGGGGGGAAAGGACTTGCCCAGGGTCACACAGCAAGTTCGTGGTGGAGCCGGGAACTGAATCCATGAGCCCAGGGCTCTGTCCATTTCCTGTGCCGCAGTTCCCTTCGCCCCTAAAATGGGAACAACATTGCCCATCTCGGTACACTAAGGACAGACCCCACCTCCCAGCCATGCACACCTGCCCCTGCCTGCGACAGAACCGTGACAGTGGCGGGGCCCGAGCTGCTCACTGGGCGCAAACTCCCCAAACCCCGACGGGCCCCTGGAGAGTCTCGAGGGGCCTGAGCGACGTGAGGTTCCGAGGGCCGGGAACGGACCTCGGGACTCGCTTCTGGATGGAACCACATGCAAAGAGGCACAGGACGCTCGCTGGCAATGCACAACCGCACCAGAGTGGAGAACCAGTCACTCCCGCGAGCTGGGAAGTGAACGACAGCCGCTGCCTGAGCATCTCGGCCAAGGAGGGACCCGGGCGGCGTCCCGACCCTCCCGTCCTCTCAACCATGCAGGGTCAGGCAGGAGGGCCCAGGAGCCGGTACGTGGCGACAGAGGTCAGGGCTCAGGGCTTCTCACAAAGGCTCCCCAGGAAAGCGAATGGACAGTGGAGAAGGCAACACGGGCCTGGAGACCAGGGCCTCGAACCTCATCTACCGCCTCCATACAAGCATGGAACTCCGTCACTCTGAGACAGGCGCATCAACGCTGACGGCCCCCAAAGGGACGGGGGAAGATGGGGCAGCCCGCAGGGAGGCGACACCCCCTCCGTCCCCGCCCCCACAACACCACACCTGACATGCAAGCGGATGAGGCGGAGGCTGGCGGGGTGAGGGGCCTGAGCGGGGCGGGACCCCCTTCCCCGGGCTGGGGCCCGGCCCCTGCCGTACCTATAGGTCTTGCCGTCCTTCTGGTGGTCGTCGTCATCCTCCGGGGAGAGGACGTAAGGGTCGCTCATCTCGGGCAGCCCCGACTCCAGCATCCGCTTCTTCTTCCGGCCGCGGGGGGGCTTGGGGGCCACATTATTACTGCCGCCGCCACCGCCACCGCCACCGCCGCCACCACCGCCACCGCCGCCGCCGCCACCTTCCTCCGTGAGGGTGGCGGCCACCTTCTTGGAGAGGTCGGGGACCACCTGCAGGGCTTGTGAGCCAGGGGGGAGGGCTGAGACAATCATGGGAGCCGAAATGGGGAAGGTCTGAGCGGACGAGGCTGTGGTCACTAGGGAGCCTGAGGGGGACGTGATTACCAAACCAGGACCTAGGGCAGGGAGAGAAACACGGCAGGGTCACGGCAGGGTCACGCCGCGGGCGCCAACCTGGCCCCGCCCCCCACGCCCCTGTCCAGGCGACCCTCCCCACCGCCCTCCGCTCACTCCCCTGCCCGCCCTCCCGCCCCCGGCTCCGAGCACATACAGGGCAGAAAAGAGGAAACCCCAGACCCTGCAGAGAATTAACGGTCTCCTGACCCGTCCCCACCCCAACCCTGGTAACAGTGAAATTTACCCCGTGATTGACTCCCTTCTCTTCTCCACCTCTGAGAGCAGGAGACTCCTTGATTCAGAGAAGGAAAGAATGTCACCTCCTCAAAGGCAGGGCCCGCATCTTCTACTTCTTTGTACCCCCCCACAACGCCTAGCGCACAGCCAGGCACGCGGCAGGCGCTTCATGAAAACGCGGTAGCTGCGTCATCGCACACAGAGCCCGCGCCCCCTGTCCACGGCGCCCTCCGGCCCGGGGCACTGATCGGGGAGGACCAACACCTCAGATGGGACAAGCGCGGAGTTGCTCACCGGCAGTCATCAGCCCGGTGGACGGCACGGGGACCACGGTGATGTTCTGGGTCACGGACGGCTGGCTCTGCGGGGGCAGCTGGTCTGACTTGGACTCGGTGTCCATGCTGATGCCCGAGGGCAGGGACACCGAGGCAGGCACGGTCAGCAAGGTGGGGTAGTGGGGGGCGGCCAGCCCACAGCCCTTCTCAGGCAGCAGCTGATCCTTCATCTTGTTGATGAACATCGTGTTGTCGATCTAGGCGAGAAGGAAGGGGCGGGGAGTGGCCTCCTCGGGGCGCGGCGGGCTCGCCCTCTGCCCATCAAGACCCAAGGGGTCCCTCCAGGCACGCCTCTGAGATGCTGCCGGTGCGGTCCGGGACCACCGCCAGAAAGGAAAGGGCGCGAGACTGTCGGGGAGTCTGCGGCTTCCCGGGGCAAGTCAGAGTCCCCGTCCCCGAGCCCGCGGTCTACCACGTGTGCAATCACATCAGGTCGAGGGGGCGGGAAATGGATGTACTGTAGCTCAAACATAGTAGATGGCTAAGAAAGGCTGTCACGTGAGCCTTCCATGAGTGAGAATCTTTTCGCTGGTGCAGGATCTTGTTTAAAAATAAAAAGAGGAGGGGCCAGAGTGATAGCACAGTGGGTACGGCGTGTGCCTTGCACCCCGCCGACCTGGATTCGATCCTCGGCATCCCATATGGTCCCCCAAGCACCGCCAGGAGGAATTCCTGAGTGCAGAGCCAGGAATAACCCCTGAGCATCGCTGGGTGTGACCCAAAAAGCAAAAATAAATAAATAAATAAAAAGAGGACCGGAGCAATAGTACACCAGGGAGGGCGATTGCCTTGCACATGCCCAACCTGGGTTCAATCCCCAGTATCCTATATGGTCCCCAAGCACCTCCGGGAATAATTCCTGAGTGCAGAGCCCAAAGTAACCCCTGAGCATCACCGGATATGACCCCCCCCAAAAAAAAACAGGGAAAAAAATAAACTTAAAAAGTTATATGTAGGGGGCTGGAGAGAGAGCACAGCGGGCAGGGCATTAGCCTTGCATGCGGCCAACCCGGGTTCGATTCCCAGCATCCCATATGGTCCCCTGAGCACCGCCAGGAGTGTAAAGCCAGGAGGAACCCCTGTGCATCGCCAGGTGTGACCCAAAAAGCAAAAAAAAAAGTTATTATGTATTGAGGTCAGAGCAATAGCACAGCGGGTAGGGAATATGCCTTGCACACTGCAACCTCAGTTCAATGCCTGGCATTCCCACATGCACCCCTAAGCACTACTAGGAGGAATTCCTGAGCACAGAGCCAGGAGTAAGCCCTGAGCATCCCTAGGTGTGACCCAAAAAGTGCAAAAAAAAAAAAGTTCTATATACATATGTCCAAGAGGTGCAGTGGAGCAGAGCCATAAAACCATCTGTACCCGCACCTCTGGGCTTCCAGACTGAAGCCAAGAGAGAAACGCTACAGTTCTCCCATGGTGCGGGGTACCGGACTAGCACACAGTTTATCCAGCTGCAACTTCCTACTCAGAGACGAGGACACAAAGGAGTCGCAGCAGAAAGACACACATCACCTACCTGTCCTGAGACCGTGGGGATAGAAGGCCAGAAGTACGGGTTAGAATTGAAGTGAGATTCTTCCATTCTACCTGGGAAGAGAGACCACAGAGCACTCAGGACCGAGTCCAGAGCAGGAGCAGCATCGGGGACGGGGCCTAAGAAGCACCTGGTCTCTGGGCGGGCACCCACCCCAGCTGGGGCTCAGCAGGCAAGAGCGGAGCCTCCAGTGCTCAGGGCCTTGGGTGGCGACCACTCAGCACCAGCTCCCGGCCCAGTCAGAGGTGACCGGGGGAAAAAGGCTGGGCAAAAACACTCTGGCCGGATGGAGGACAGGAGGAAAGGCACTTGCCTTGCACGCAACCAACCCGGGATGGATCCTTGACATCCTATAGGGTCCCCTGAGCCCCACCGGATGTGATTCCTGAGTACAGAGCCCGGAGTCACCCCTGAGCACCGCTGGATGTGGCCCAAACCGCTCCCCCACCCCACAAAAAAGAATCTGCATATTGGGTGCGGCCAAGAGAGTGCAGCAGGGAAGGTGCTGGCCTTGCATGCAACGGACCCGGGTTTGATCCCAGGCACCCATATGGCTCCCCGAGCTCCGTCAGGAGTGATCCCTGAAGGCAAAGCGGGGTGTGTCCCAAAAAAACAAAACCAACAACAAAGAGGGCAGAGCCAGGAATAAGCCCTGCACACAGGAGTAAGCTCTGAGCACCGAGAGGGTGTACCCCAAAAACACAAAACAGAACGAAAAAGGAGATCCAGCCTATGTATCTGTGTTCTGTGCAGCCTGTAAAGATTCTGGACCAGAAAACACGTCCAAGGGAACTAAAGAATGAAACCGGAAGGGGTGAGAATTAAGGGTTTGTCCTGAGCACCAGTGCCACCTGGGGACAGTACCCACCAAGCTGACCAAGGTCTAAGAGCATCCAGGGTGCTGCAGAGGGTCCCACACATGCTGGGACAGGCTCCAGGCACTGGCGAGGGACCCAATCTAAAAAGGGATCTCAGGGCTGGAGCGACATTAAGAGGGGAGGGTGCTTGCTTTGCACGTGGCCGACCCGCGTTCGATCCCCAGCATCCCATATGGTTCCCCGAGCACCACCAGGAGTGATTCCTGATGGCAGAGTCAGGAGTAACCCCTGAGCACTGCCTGGTGTAGCTCGAAAACAAAAAAATATATGCAGTAGTAGTAATGCACTGTAGCACTGTCCTCCCGTTGTTCATCGATTTGCTGGAGCAGGCACCAGTAACGTCTCCATTGTGAGACTTGTTACTGTCTTTGGCATATCAAATATGTCACGGGTAGCTTGCCAGGCTTTGCTGTGCAGGCAAGATACTCTCAGTAGCTTGCCGGGCTCTCCAAGAGAGGCAGAAAAATCTAGTAGTAGTTAGTAGTAGTAGTAGTAATAACAACAACAACAACAAACGGGTCTAGGACCAGGAAGAGTTCAGCGGGGAAGGCACTTGCCTTGCATGGAGCTGGCCCAGGTTGGATCCCCGGCACCACCTCCAGCCCCCCAGCACCTCCAAGAGTGACCCAAGGTGCCAGAGAGATAATACAGTGGGTAGGGCATTTGCCTTGCATATGGCCGACCCGTGGTTTGATCCCTGGCATCCCCTGAACACCACCAGGAGTAATTTCTGAGTGAAGAGCCAGGAATAACCCCTGAGCACTCCCGGGTGTCCCCCCCCCCCAAAAAAAAACCCAACAACAAAGAGGGCAGAGCCAGGAATCGGCCGTGCACACAGCTGGCTGTAGCCCAGAAGGAAAAGGGCCGCAATGCCAGGGAGACAGCTCAAAGGGCCACCGCACAGGCTTCGCATGCGGGGAAGCCCAGCGCCCGTTTTCAGCGTACGCCACGACCTCCCCAGCACTGCGGGGAGCGACTCCACATAACCAAGCTGGGAGTAGTCCCTGAGGACCCCGAGTGTGGCCCCCAAACCCAAATCAAGCAACTGAACAGAACGAAAACAACGTCCCAAGAGTTTTTTTTTCTCTTCCACTGCAGCAGGAGCCGAGATTCCACCGAAAGGGGCCCGGCCTAGGGCCCGGGAGAGCCAGAACACACACAGACCCCAGAGTCCTGCCCAGGGGGTGTCGGAGGCCGCCAGGGGCTCTGGGAGTCAGGAGCACGACAGTCATCCCTCGGAACCCCATGGGAAGGGCCAGACGCAGCGTGCAAGCACCCCGCCGCGTGCTTCCACCCGTTTTCCCGCGCTGACCGCTTCTCCTAGCAAGGCTGAGTCAGCGATTGCTCGAGAGCAGCTTCCCCAAACTGCAGGGGCCACAGGGCGCTCGACAGCCGGAGCGCAGGCGGGGAGGGCCAGGAGGCCCGGGTCAGACCCCTGACCCAAGGCCTGGAGTAGACCCCGGGCAAGTCTGGGCTGGGTCCCGGAGAAACAGAAAAGGAGCGCCGCCCCCAAACCCAGGCCGAGCAGGAAGGCAGGAGAGGGCGGACGGGACGGGCCAACAGGGGAAAGGGAGAAAGGGGAATAGACCTTATCAGCAGGCGGAGTGACAGGTGAGGAGGCCTGGGGGCCTGTGACCTATGGCCCTGCTGAAAATGTGGGAGGATGGTGGGGTGGGGGGGGCGGGGGCAGACAGCAGAGATGATAAGAACCAGAGGGCGGTTGAGGCCCAGACCCGGTTTCCGAGCAGCAGGCAGAAGAGTGGGGCACCATCTCCCACGGAGGAGTCGGGCAGAGACACGGTCCTACCCGCCTTCCTCTCGGCACTGCATTTGGCTTTACTAAAGCGTTCAGTTTTCATCAACCCCACGGAGAAGCAAAACTTGCCCTTCGGCCACCTTCTCCCTGAGAGAGAGCAAGGGCAAGAGGGGGAGGACCGCCCCCATCTGTCTGAGGTACACAAGAGGGGCTCCAGAATGAATGACTGAGGCTGGAGCGATAGCACAGCGGGGAGGGCGTTTGCCTTGCACGCGGCCGGCCCGGGTTCGATTCCCAGCATCATCCCATAGGGTCCTGTGAGCACTGCCAGGAGTAATTCCTGAGTGCAAGAGCCAGATTCAATTCCCAGCATCTCCTAGGGTCCCCCAAGCACCACCAGGAGTAACCCCTGAGCATTGCCGAGTGTGACCCCCCCCAAAAAAAAAGGATGAATGACATGACCTGGGGCTGGAGCAAAGGAAAGTGGATAGAGCGTTTGCCTTGCACGCGGCTGACCAGGGTTTGATCCCCAGCATCCCAGATAGTCTCCTGAGCACCACCAGGAGTAATCCCTGAGTAGAAGAGCCAGGAGTAACTCCAGCGCATCACAGGGTGTGGCCAGAAAAAAAAATGAAGGAACTCAGGCCAACCAGAGGCAACTCCTGCCCCCCAGCAATAAAACAACAGCAAGACCGGCCCAAGCCAGCTAACAGGGTTCATTCCAGCACGTTCCAGTCTCAGGTTCCGCCTTAGGCAAGAGAAATCAGAATCAATCAGATCACTGCTAAAGAAGATCTAATCTCTCCAAGACCTGAAGGGCGGGGCTCGGGTCCCTCACCCCTCGGCAGTGCAGTGACCAAGCTGCAAGACAGTGGGGGTCCCTGCTCCGCAGTGTGAAATACGCCACTGAGAAATAAGGAGATGGGACTCTGGCCTTGCACGTGGCTCACCCTGGTCTGACCCCCGGCACTGCATAGGGTCCCCCGAGGCCTCCAGGAGGGACCCCTGAGCTCAGAGCCAGGAACAAGTCCTGAGCACTGCTGGGTGTGTCCCAGAAAAGCCCCCCTGATCCCCCCCCCAAAAAAACATACATTGGGGACAAAACCCAAGCCGAAAGAAAGATTGATGGGGCAACCAGATGGTGGGGGGTGGGGGGGGGCCCGAAGCCGAGAAGGGGGTGGGAGGGTCAGAGAAAGGAGGATGTGATACAACTTTCCCCTGCTCGAGAGTCAAGGAAGTCAATGCGTTCCGGATGTGAAAACTGAGGAGGAACTGAGAGTCTGAAAATGAGACCTGCCCTCGGAGGCGACTCCCGTGAACCGGCCGCTCCAGAGAGACCCCATCCACGTTAGGAGGTCCCACGAGGGTTCCCCTGGAGGTTCTCAGAAGGGGGGGGCGCCCCTCGGGGATGTGGCGGGCAGCACTGGGGGCGCTGCCCCACGAACGCCCTCAGTACTCGGGGCTCCCCTGCCCGCTCCTGGCCCCCCATCCTCCAAACGCCGCAGCCGTGGTCTCGGCGGCCAATGCCACCCCCACATTTGAAAGGGGGAAGCGAAGTGGAGGGGGAATCAAACGACAACTAGCTCCACCTCGATGCCCAAGACCCGAGTCTAGGACAGGACCCGGCCACCACCACTGTACCCCATACCCCCCCCCCAACGTACAGACTCCACTTGGGAATCAACACTGGGGAAGGACCAGCGGGAGCTACACACACACAGCGCCTGACCAGAGAGGTTGGGCCGCGGCGAAGGCCAGTCGAGAGGGCTTGCTCCGGGCCTTCCCCTCGGCCCCCAAGACCACTGCCCAGTGTCTGCCACAGGGGCAGGCTTGGGGAGCGGGCAGATGCAGAAGGGCAACTGGGGACACTGGTGGCGGGGAAACGTCCCCGGGTGAAGGGACGGGTACTGGAACTGTAGAGGAACTGAAACTCAATCCTGAACAACTTTGAAACCACGGATCTCACGGATTCAATGAGAGGGGGGAAAAAATAAATAAATAAAAGGAGAGGAGGAATAAGTGACCAAAAAAAGGAAAAAATCACGAACTGTGGCGTCATGAGAGTCTGGGAGAATGACGGGCGGGCTGTCCAGGTTGGGGTGAGTGAAGCCCCCTATGCCCGCAGGCAGCCACATCTGCTGTGGGGTTGGGTCTCGCTTGGGCTGGGTTTTGCTTTTTATCTGGGGGAGGAGGGGTGCCCACAGGGACACACCCACGCTCAGGGGCCCTTCCCAGTGCAGCTCTGAGAAACATAGGTGCCAAGGATCAAACCTGGGCTCTCATGGGTCCCGCACGGACTCGGGGCACTCAACCCTGTGTTGGTCCTTCAGAGGACAGAGCTGAAGATCAGAACCCCCCCCGGGGGGGGGGTCCCCAGACGCAGGGGAGGGACAGCGCAGCAGCCAGCAAACCCAACACAGAGGCGACTCGCAAATGATCCCGAGGGTCAGCCACACCACTGGCACAACTCATCGGCGACGGTGCCCCCATAAGAGGCCGGACGGGGAGCGACAGCCACGGCTGCTGCCAGGACACCCCATGAAGCGGCAAGGCCCTGGGGCGGTCAGACAGGGCACCCCACCCGCGGGTATCCCAAGCCTCAGTTTACTGTTCTGCCCACCCGGCACTCGGCCTGCAGCCCAGCCAGGCCAGAGCGACCTCAGGGGGCGGGAGCGAAGGCTCTGCACCGGGCAGCAGCCACATTTCAGTCCCCCGCTAGAGTTTCTCAGGTACCACACGGAACCCTGAAAGCCCCAGGCAGTGATCCCTGAGCAGGATCAGGGAATAGGTCCCCCCTCCCGGTTCCCAAATCCAAACCCCAAACCCCAAGACGTCCACTGCTCTTCCAGGAAAACCTCATGTCTCCACTCGAAAGTCCAGTGACTTTGATTAGGGCCATTTATTTTTCAGACTGGGGAGGATGGGAACGGTTTCTGTTCCAGCCACAAAGCAGCAGGGAAGGGGAACAGGTAGAAAGGATAATGCCGGGAAAACGAAAACCTGGGTTCCAACTGTCCCCTGGCACCGCCCCCTGCCCTGACTGTTTTGTGCATCTCCCTCATCCCGCCCTTCCCCAGAGGCAGCCCTGGACAGGCAGGAAGGCGCAAAGAGGGGCTGGAGCAATAGGACAGCGGGTAGGACTGACCCGGGTGACCCGGGTTCGATTCCCAGTGTCCCGAGCATCGCCAGGAGTAATTCCTGAGTGCATGAGCCAAGAGTGACCCCTGTGCATCGCTGGGTGTGACCCCCTCCCCCCAAAAAAAGCCCAGGAAGAGTGCAAAGAGTCCACAGTCTCCAGCAGGGGGTCCGACAGATACGGTAAAGGCCATCACCTCCTTCCGAGTCCGTTTCTTTTTCTTGCTTGCTGCTTTTCAAATGAAGGTGCCCCCCTTTTCCTCAAACTAGCAACATTCTTCTCACAGGCCCAAGCTTTGAAAAACCAACATGTATTGGCATTGACCAAGTTCAGTAGCTAGAGAACTGGATGAATCGAATCCCAGGTCTCTATCAGTGAATGACTGAGTAACTTCATCTCTACTAAACTCTTTGGGTAGAGGATGGAGAAGAAACACCCCTCCCCTAAAACAAATTCACAGGACCAAGGGTAAAGGGATGGAAAGAGAACAAGAAAGAAAAAAAGTGCTCCAAGAGCTACTGAGAGGAAGACAGAAATGCTTCCGAGTGATGCGGACTATTAGTGACAATTAGTGGCAATTATATCAAGACCACGTAATTACAAAGAACTACCCCAAAGCATCAGATCTATACCCTCCAGCTTTGTAATCATCAAGGAGGACTTAGAGAAAAAGGGGGGGGGGGGAGGAAGAGAGAGAGGGAGGGAAAGAGGGAGATATGAAGAACCAACTAACTCAGAAAGAACTTGACCCATGGAGTTGGGACATTCCACTGGGAAAAACCGCTCCAAAACGCATCACTGTGAAGAGCGTGCAGTACCAGCTAAGGCCTGGGAGCAATGACACACACGAGGACCATTTCTTCACGGGAAAGTAACGTTCTGTACTAAGGAACACTCAAAAAAGGGCCACCGGCCCCAACATATCCAGGCCTCCCTACTTCCGGGGGACGCGTCCCAGCACCAAGCAACTCCACAAGGAGCTGCCGCTCTTCTACTGGGAAAGACCTTCAGCCCAGGCCCGAACACGCCAACGAGGCCACACCCGCCGGCATGCAGCCGGCAAGCAGGGCTAGCACTTTCTCTGGGGGCTCGGCGGAGTTGCTGAGAGCCGAGGGAAGACAGCAGAGCGACCCCTGCCCATTCATGACCTGGTGGACGGCAGGAGAAATACTAAGAGAAAGGGGTTGGCCCTTTCAACCACCAACATTGCCCAGAAAACTGAGGGTGAGACATCTTCTACTGGGGCAATAGCACAGCGGACAGGGAGCCTGCCTCCCAAGTGGCTGACACGGGTTTGATCCCCAGCACCCATTTGGTCCCCTGGGCCCCCCCAGGTCATCCTCCTTGAGCAAAGAGCCAGAAGTAAGCCCTGAGCACTGCCAAGTGTGGCCCCCAAGCCAAACCAATACTGTGACGATAATAATAATAATAATAATACATTTCATAAGTCAGTGTGGAAAAGACACCTCTAGGACAATCAACTGAACTCTCCAACTCTTTGGGGTCGGCACACACTTTCAAACAACTTCAAGCCCCATGACTGGAATTCTTCTAGACCTCCCGCTGGAGGGCACTTCATCCAACAGTGTCCACTGTGCTGCCAACTACCAATTCTTCCTGCGGGGTTCACCCTGCCAACCCAGTTCCCGAGCATAGACGCCCATCCCTCTAATGAATGGCAGAAATAGCAATAGGTGAGGCCATGCGCCCCTGCACCCTCACTGCGCCCAGCTGGGTCCCCATACAGGAGGCAGCCACCCCATGAGCCATGCAGGGGTCACCGGCATGTCCCCCCTGCAGAGAAGACACCTCCTGTGAACAGCATGCCAAGCACATCAGGGCGCTTGGCTTGAGCATGTCCGATTTCATTCTGGATGAATGGCAGGAGCGGAAGGTGTCCGGTGGAGCACCAACTTTTTACACAGAAACTTCCTGGACAACATCAGGCAGTGACAGGGCAAGGCTGGGCTTTGGTGCAGTTTTCCCACCCACCAGGAACACCGGTTCTCGGTGCCACTGCCCCGCGCCAGCCCATTGGATGATGGTCCCTTCTCCTCCCCCAAACCACCCAAGCCACTGGCTCAAAATTGTCTTACCCTCTCTCTCTCGTCCTCCTGTCGTCTTATTCCTTCTCCTTTCCAGGGCTCCTGAACTTTCTGTAAACAAACGTTCAGGGTTACAGGGCGGCAGGCACCAGAGAACCAGCGGAGAACCTCAGAAACTCCGGGGACTGTCAGCAGGTCCGGAAAGACAGGGGGTGGGGAGCCCCGCGGCCCAACAATCCAAAGGTGCAGGGGGGCGGTTCAGGACCCCGGTGCAGGGCCACCCCCTGAGTGGCCGCAAGGGCAAAGCAATCCAATTCTCGGCGAGCAAGATGCACTCTTATCACCAGGCTGGAGGGTGCACTCCTGGGCTCAGGCACCCCCGTGCTTCATTCCCCGGGGCCCCCCCAATCCCAGAACCCGAGGGGTCAGAGGCCGGCAGGCTTGACCGAGCAGCAGGGTCCCGCCCCGCCCCCGAGGAGGGGCTCGGACAGCAGCGCCGAGGTCTGGGGGGGCTGCACCAGCCCGGGTGTCCGGCAGCGTGCCAGCTCGGGCCCGGCCACTTCCTCTGGCCTCCCCCCACTCCGGCGGGGGCTTGGCTCCTGCCTCCCCCCCCGGCCGTGAGCCAAGAAGTCCCTCCCTCGGCCCGCACGGGGGTCTCCGCACCGGGGTCCCCCCGAAACCTTCGCTCCCGTGACCCCGCGCCCGGGAGCCTGCTCCGAGGGTCGGCCCCCAGCCCGGCCTCAAGGCCCCTTCCCGGGGACGCCCCTCCCGGCCCTCCTGGGAGCCGCACTCCGCCACCCACCACCCGACGGACACCCGCCCCCTAAGCCCCCCCATTCCTCCCCATCGCCCGCTCCTCCGCAACCACTTCCGGTTCCGGGCCGGGCACACACGCACACGCACACACACACGCGCGCGCGCGCACACGCACACTCACACACACACATACATACACACACAGACAGCCGCCACCCGGGGGGGGTCCCCTCCCCGCCCCCCGCGGTGCGGGGCTTGGGGGGAGGCAGCGCGGGGGGCTCGGCGCGCGCCCGCGGCGGCGGCGCCAGACTCACCCGGCAGCGACGGCGGCTGCGGCGGCGGCGGCGCCGGGGCCGGAGCGCGGGAGGGGCGGCGTTGGCGGGGCGCGGAGGGCGCCCGAGCGGGGTGGGAGGGCCCGGAGGGGGCGCCGGGAGGGGGGCCGGGCGCGAGGCGGGGCGCGCGGGCACGCACGGGAGGCGCCGGGCGGCCCCACACGCGCGCACGCACGGACGGCGCGCGAGACAGCGCGGGGCGGGGGCCCCTCCCGCCCGCCCGCCCGCCCGCGCGCGCCGCGCACTCACCCGGAAGTGCTGCCGCCGCCGCCGCCGCCGCTGCCGCTCGCGCTCCGGCGGCCCCGGCCCGCCCGGCCTCCGCGCGCGCGCACGCGGGGCCCAGCCGCGCCGCCGAGAGCGGGCGGGAGGTCCGGGAGCGAGCGCGGGGCGGCGGGAGGGAGACCGAGCCGCGGGGGAGGCGGCGGGGGCAGGTGGGGGGGCGGGGGGAGACCTGCAAAGGTCGAGTCACTTCCGGGAGCGGCCGCGAAGCACATCCGGCGCGGCGCGCCGGCCCCCGAGACTCAGGGCGGAAGTTGCGACAAGTCGGGGCGGAAGTGGCCTGCGCTCGGGCGCCGCGGTTTTAAAACCAGGGCGGAAGTGACGTCGCGGCGGAAGTGGCCGGGCGTGCGTGCGTGCGTGCGGTGGAGGGCCCAAGCTGGGAGGCTTCCGAGCCGGGCTCCCGGGGCTTCCGGAAGGGGTTTCTGGGGAAGTGGGAGGGTGGGAAGGAGACAGGTTGATGAATTATGCATCACGGTACCAGCGACGGTGTGGGGTTTTTTTTTTTTTTTTTTGCAGTTACGGGGATCGGGAGAGCCAAGACCTGGACCCGTTCTTTTCCCTCCTGGGGGCGGATGTCGGGAGGCATCATTCATTTCTCACATCCTCTCAAGGATATCTCAGAGCTTTGACTGTGCGGGAAAGGAGAAGGACGTGTCCTTGGTGCTCCTTACATCCCGACGGTAACCGGAACCAAAAGACCAAACACCACACCTGCAGGTCATCAAAATCCGACCCGTCCCTGACCACACCCTAGACTCACTCTCCTGGCTCTGCGCCTTTATTGCGCTTTCATCTCCACAACTGTCTTCTCACCCAGCTTTACGGTTCCGTTTAATTTCGTTCGAGGGGCTGGCGTGGAACCCCGGGGCGTCACCGATATATCAGACACCCGGCTCTCTCGGCTCTCTCGTTTAAATACAGCAACCCCACCCTACCTGGTCGGCTAGAACCTCAGCTAGGAATACTATTTTTTTTTTTTGGTCCCCCGAGGGCAAGGACTTGAATCTGGCGCTTAGCAAACGTTTGTTGCAGATAAAGAGACCTCTTTCAAAAAGCCTTCCCCTATTGTTCCTTGTTTCCTTCCCCTGAGTTCTGGCAGAATTGCCTCTGTACCTTTCCTTGCTGTTTTATCAGCTTTATTTCGGAAATAGGACTAGGGAGAAAAAAAATAATGCCTCCAAGTGAGAAGCGGACTTCTCCCGGTGGAGGAAAGCCAACTGTACCCCCCAAAAGTGTGAAGGACAAGACAGATAACCCCAGTAGGGAATGTGTGCCACGTGCCTTTGCAGTGGCATGGCACGTGTCCAGCTATGCTCAGAGCATCGTCCAAGCTCTGTGCTCCCAGATCACTTTTGGCACTACTGAGCGCTCCTGTGGGGTACCATGAACCGAGCTCAACTGAGGGAGTGTGATCCTCTGTACCATAACTTGGGCTCTTCAGTTGGTTTTTATAGGGTTTCCCCACACTGCCCAGCTTTGGGGCGTTTTTTTTTTCTTTTTGGGTCACACCCCGTGATGCACAGGGTGGATCACGGCTCATGCACTCCTGGCTCATGCACTCAGGAATCACTCCTGGAGGTGTTGGGGGACCATATGGGATGCTGGGAATCGAACCCGGGTCGATCGCGTGCAAGGCAAACAGCTTACCTGCCGTGCTATCGCTCCAGCCCCTTTGGGGCATTCTATGCAGCCACAATTGCTTTCATGTCGTGGATGCTTGTACCTCACCAGCTCACGAGACAGCGACCAGGCTGTCACAGAAGCCCACTTGATGTGTAGTACTGTGGAAACTGGCCCCCAACCCCTGAATTCTCAGGGAACGGAGGTCTCAGGCTGGTCAAAGGGATTGCTCTTTGCAGGCAAAGGAAAGTCAGTTCTGACCTACTCAGGTTTCCCCGGGTTGTCCTCAGTCTACCCAGGGAAGCTGCCAGGGGACTCTGAACTGGGGTTATGGGGCTGGAGAGATTTTACCATGGGGAGGGCACTTGCCTTGCACATCTCCAAACCTGGTTTGATCCCTATCACCCCATAGGGTTCCACAAGCCCCACCAGGAGTGATCCCTTCAGGCAGAGCCAGAAGTAAACCCTAAGCACTGCCAGTGTGGCCCTAGAACAATCATATGAGAGAGAAAGAAAAGAAGGAGAGGGGGCTGGAGCGATAGCACAGCGGGGAGGGCGTCTGCCTTGCACATGGCCGACCTGGGTTCGATTCCCAGCATCCCATATGGTCCCCTGAGCACCACCAGGGGTAATTCCTGAGTTCAGAGCCAGGAGGAACCCCTGTGCATCGCCAGTATGACCTAAAAAAGAAAAGGAGAAAGGAGAGAGAAACCCCTCTCCAGAGAGGAGAGAGCCCAGAACACCCCGTAAAGTCAAAGAAAGGAATGACTCATCCCAGGTTGAGATGCAGTGGGTGATTCCTCAGCGAGACCGTCAGCTCCTCAGAGAACAGTCCAGCGCTGACCTGGTGTCACCCCGGCTGAGCACAGGGAAGTGGAACAAACACTGAGATCCTGAATGCCACCAGCCACCCACTCTGCTGGCCAAAACTCTGGGCTCCACCGAAGCAGAATTGATGTCCCACCTAGAAGCAATAATGGCTCCTTACTTAGAAAATAGCAGAATTGTGATAAATAAAATATAACCATTTATTTTTTCATGGAAATGGAGAGATAGTACAGTGGGTAAGGTACATGCCTTGCAAGTGGCCAACCCCAGTTTGATCCTATCAGGCACAGCCAGAAAAGATCCCTAAAGGCAATCTGGTGTGGCCCCCAAACAAAATACCCACCTTACAGATAATGAAAACAAGATGCTGCAAGTTGGCCACAAGGAAGTAGCAAAGGACTCCTAGGAAGAACCATTTGAAGGTCTTTTGTGTGTTTTGGTTTTATCTTGGGGCCACACCCAGCAGGGCTCAGGGTTTACTTCTAACTTTGAATGCAGGGATCACTTCTGGCAGGGCATGGGAGAACATATGGGATGAATGGGATTGAATCCGGGATGTACTGGCTGTATTATCCCTCTGATCCAACATTTGAGTGCTTAATTAAAACATTTTTGTGGGGCCAGAGATATAGTACAGCGGGGAGGACATTTGCCTTGCATGCAGCTGACCTGGATTTGATCCCGGGCATCCCTTACGGTTCCCAAAACACCGCCAGGAGTAATTCCTGAGTGCAGAGCCGGGAGCAACCCCTGACCATCCCTGGGTGTGGCCCAAAAAGCAATAAATAAAACATTTTTGTTTGGGGGCCAGAGTGATAGTACAGCAGATAGGGCATTTGCCTTGCACTAGGCTGATCCGGGTTCAATCCCCAGCACTTGTTCCCCAGGTCCACAAGGAATAATCCCTGAGCACTGCCGGTATAGCTCCCAAACTGGAGCACTGTCCTCCCACTGTTCATTGATTTGCTCGAGCGGGCACCAGGAACAGCTCCATTGTGAGACTTGTTGCTACTGTTTTTGGCATATCGAATGTGCCAACGGGGAGCTTGCCAGGCTCCTCCGTGCGGGCAGGGTACTGTCGGTAGCTTGCTGGGCTCTCCGAGAGGGACGGAGGAATGGAACCCGGGTTGGCTGCATGCAAGGCAAACGCCCTACCCGCTGTGCTATCACTCCAGCCCAGCTCCCAAACTGTTTTGTTTTAATGTATTTGTTTGACAAAGACTTTATTTGTTGTGGTTCCTATTGGGGCCCCACCCCATAGTGCTGAGGGCTACTCCCCTTTTCACATTCCTGGTAATTCCAGAGGTTCTGGGGTGGGTTTGGGGGTGTGTGGAACCTGAACCTCCCACCTGCAAATCATGTTCCCCAGCCTTCTGCACTATCCCCTGGCTTTAAAAAAGGATCTTGAGGGGGCTGGAGCAATAGCACAGTGGGAAGGGCGTTTGCCTTGCATGGGGCCAACCCGGGTTCGATTCCCAGCATCCCATATGGTCCCCCGAGCACCGCCAGGAGTAATTCTTGAGTAATTCAGAGCCAGGAGGAACCCCTGTGCATCGCCGGGTGTGACCCAAAAAGCAAAAAAAAATAAATAAAAATAAAAATAAATAAAAAAGAATCTTGGGCTGGAATGATAGCACAGCGGATAGGGTGTTTGCCTTGCATGTGGGCGACCCGGGTTCGATTTCCAGCATCCCACAGGGTCCCCCAAGCACCACCAGGAGTAATTCTTGAGTGCAGAGCCAGGAGGAACCCCTGTGCATCTCTGGGTGTGACCCAAAAAGCAAAAAAAAAAAGGATCTTTGGGCTGAAAAAGAGAGAAGAAAAGTGCCTGCCAGAGAGGCAGGCTGGGTGAGAGGTGATGGGAGGGAACCTGGGGACAATGGTGCCGGGAAACGTGCTCTGGTGGAGGGATGGGTGTTGGACTGAGACCCAATCATGAACAGCTTTGTAAAGATCTATCTCACAGTGATTCAATAATAAAATTTTTAAAAGTATTTTGGGAAGCTGGAGCAATATTAAAGTGGTTAGGTTATTTGCCTTGCATGCAGCTGACCAGGGTTCGATTCCCAGCATCCCATATGGTCCCCCAAGCACCACTAGAAGTAATTCCTGAGTGCAGAGCCAGGAGTAACCCCTGAGAATCGCTGGTTGTGGCCCCCAAACAATCTTGGACTGAAAGGAGAGTACGGGAGGGTAATTATGGCACTAGCTATGCACACAGCCAATACCTGGGTTTGATCCCGAGCACCATATTTGGTCTCCTGAGCACTGCTAGGTAAGAGTGATCCCTAAGCACAGAACCAAGAGTAGCCCCTGAGCATCACTGGATATGGTCCCAAAACACAAAGAATTCTTTTTTTAAGTTTTAAGTGTCGGGGGGCTGGAGCAATAGCACAGCAGGTAAGGCATTTGCCTTGCATGTGGCCGACCCAGGTTCAATTCCCTGCATCCCATATGGTCCCCTGAGCACCACCAGGAGTACTTCCTACGTTCAAGAGCCAGGAGTACTGCTGTGCATCTCTGGGTGTGACCCAAAAAGAAAAAAAAAGTTTATTAAGTGTCTCCTCTCTTTGTCACATCTGAGGGCCCTGAATCTACTTTCACTGAGTAACAAGCAGTCGACAGGGCTGAGCTCAGGTGTGACCAGCCCAAGTGACCACACAAATCAGAGATGGCCATTCCAGAAACACCATTTGGGGCAAAACAGTCAACAATGGGGGGTGGGGTGCCAGCTTCCACTTGTTCCTCTCCCATCCACCAAGACCCCAGGTTCGAGTCCCCAGCTGTCTGCCCTGCTCCAGCCCTGACCGGAAGTGGGTGGGGTTTTTTTTTTGTTGTTGTTGTTTTTTTGCTTTTTGGGTCACACCCGGCAATGCTCAGGGGTTACTCCTGGCTCTGCACTCAGGAATGACTCCTGGCGATGCTCAGGGGGACCATATGGGATGCTGGGAACCCAGTTCTCGGACAGGTGCAAGGCAAACGCCCTACCTGCTGTGCTATTGCTCCAGCCCCCTTGCCAGAAAGTTCTAAATGCTTCAAACTCTGGCAGAAACAAAGTGTGAGGGAGAGAGGTGGGGCGGAGGGGGAAGAGGGCTGTTAATCGTAGCCTGGGGGTTTCCAACTGGTAGCTCCTTCCATTCAGAATCACTCCACACCCCACCCTTACCAGGAGGGCCCCACCTCCTCAGGGCTTCCCCCTTCCTGGTGTGGTTTCAGCTACACGAGAGCGAGAGCGAGTTTTCCAGAAAACAAGGCTGAGCGCTGCAGTGTCCAGCCCAGGGAGGGGTGAAGAGAGCACAGAGCTGGGAGGAGACGCTGGTCCCAGGGGGTGTCTGTGATGCGTGGCCATCGCTCGCATCCTCGGTGAGGCTCTGGCTGCAGGAGTGACTCCACAGCATCCTGATGAGGTCCAAGGTCCCCCGGTCCCCATGAGAGTTGGGGTGAGGTCTGGGGCTGCGGGCCACAGTCTCCAAAATCCCCCGTGCTGAGTGTGCCACGGAGGTCATGTAGGACAGTCCCCGGAGGACTCGGACACAAGGACATCACTGCTGTCTCTTCGTCCACCTGACTTTCCCGTGGGGGGGAGGGATGGGATGAGGAGGGCATCTGGGGAGAGGGACCGGGTGAAGACTTCCAGTGCCTGGCTAGTGTCTTTCCATTTATTTAAATTTAGAGGCACAGCAGTCTAATCAGGGAATAATTAATTCCCTCTTCATTAGGGGCCTTCATGTGTGCCTCTTGCATATGGATGAGCCGTGGGGTCACGCTGTCCCCTGGAGACAAGGCGGCTGTGGAAGGTGACGGGGTGCGGGCCCTCTCCCAGCGAGGAGGGAGCCAGCGCCCCCCAAATCTGTCCCTCGCTGCCCCAGCCCATCTCCCTCCAAGCCATCCCCTGCACCGTCCTTGGCAATATCAGCCCTACCTGCGGCCTCTTTTTTTTTTTTCTTTTGCTTTTTGGGTCACACCCAGCGATGCACAGGGCTGACTCCTGGCGGGGGCTCAGGGGACCCTTCCGGATGCCGGGGATCGAACCCGGGTTGTGCAAGTGCAAGGCCCACGCCCTCCCCGCTGGACTATTGCTTTGGCTGAGACCTCCTTAGACCAGCTCCACACTGGAGATCTTGGATCTCTCTGGGCCCCCCACCCACTGCAGTGCCCCCCACCCCCACCCCCCACGGCTTGTCTGCCTGCCTCCTCTGCTCCAGGTGCTTCCTCACCCCGGGGTGCTGCTCTGCTGCTTCTCTCCGGAGAGTCTGACACCCCGAGTGTACCTGCCCCGGGCACGTCACTCGCTCCTCCCCTCCGTCTCACCCCGGGACAGCAGCGTGACTCCCCCAGCAGCGGCCACCCGACCCACACACGCTGCTGCTCTGAGCTGCAAGGCAGGACACTCGGGGGGCACCTCCTGGGGGCCCCCCCCAACTTACCCCCCCTCCTCCCTGCGCTACCCCAGGGAGAGAGAGGGCGGCCCTGATAGGTGGGAGAGAAATCAGTGGTTCCCATGGCAACAGAATCCCAGCAGGGGCGGCTGGAATCGCTAGAGTTGGGGGTCTCAGAAGGTGATGGATCCCAGCCTAGGTTCTGTCCCTAGACACACCCCCTGGACCCCAAGGGCAGAACCCAATGCAGGCAGCATGGGGGCAATTATTTTTATTTATTTATTTTTTGCTTTTTGGGTCACACCCGGCGATGCGCAGTTCCTCCTGGCTCTGCACTCAGGAATTACTCCTAGTGGTGCTCAGGGGACCCTATGGGATGCTGGGGATCGAACCCGGGTCGGCTGCTTGCAAGGCAAACGCCCTACCCGCTGTGCTATCGCTCCAGCCCTGCATGGGGGCAATTAATGAGAGCGAACCACGGCGTGGCCCAGTTTGGGGGCGCAGCTGAGGATGAAGGCTGGGAGGGCAGAAGGCTGCCCTGGCTCCCCGTGTGAGTCTCCTCCTTCCCCTTCTCCTTGCCCTCTGTCTCCACTTCCTTCTCTGGCGGCCACCAAGGCCGGGCCTTCTGGAATTTCCCCGTTTCTCCCCTGCTCCTTGACCTTGAGCGCCAAGTAGAGCGAGCGGACCGGCCCCGCATGTGCTATCTCTTGCTCCTCCCGCCGCGCCTGAGTCGGGACTGCACCCCGCAGTTCCTCGGGCCTTCTCCTCCCTTCCTTCCAGCCCCCGAGTGACCAGAAGGGTCAGTGCCCACCCCGGCGCCAACCCCAGCGCCAGCCCCGAGCCCTCCCTCTGGGCCGGCCGCTCTCCTCCGCAGCGTGAAAGGCAGGGCCAGGGGACTGGGTATCTTGCAAAGGCTTTATTTGAAAAGTTGGAAACTTACATCCCACAAGAATTCAAGATTATCACCACAAGAAGAGAGAATACAAAAATATATATCACAGCATAGGGGCCAGGTGAGAGAGGGAGGGAGGAAGGGAGGAGGCTGGAGGGGCCCGGGGGGGGAGGGGGGAGGCAGTGCTCCCGATGGCCTTGAACCGCTGGGTCCAGTCCCGGGCAGCCTAGGTGGAGGGGGGTGGGGGGGCCCTAAGGGAGGCTGGGAAGTGGGGAACTGGCTCAGGGGTTCCGAATTCCAGAGTTGACACACACTGACGGGACAGACGGGGGGAGGGGCGGGCAAAGGGGAGCCCCTTTCTCAAATAGTGCAGCAGGCAGCCCCCCTGCCCCCCTCAGACAACAGAATCCAGCCGCAGGGGGGGTGAGGAGGCAGGGTCTGGGGGCCTCACTATTCCCCATCCCCACGGGGGAGCCCTCAGGGTAATGACAGTGCCCCTGAAATGGGATGGGGTGGGGGGGGTGCCACAAGGGAAACACAGGCCGAGGGACGGGCCGATGACAGACGGGGGTCCCAGGAGTCCCCCCCTCCCCCCGCAGCTCACCTCCCACCCGTCTCAGGGGGCCGCATGCAGGGGCCGCGGAAGCCGGATGAGGGGGTGCTCATGAGCGATGGGAGCACGACACGGGACACCAGGACACGGGCAGGGAGGACCGAGGCCCCCGGGAGCCCCCTCCCCGCCTTGGAGCGGAGCGCGACACAAGGGACAGGACGCGGGCGACCACGGGACACGGGCCTGAGGGGTGCGATGCCTGGGAGTGTGCAAGGCTTGAATGTGCAAGGGGGGCAGAAGCCACACGGAGGCGAGGGCCCCCGCCGAGTGGACGGGGGCAGGTAGGATCGCGGGGGGCCCGTGGGTGTCGGGGGCACAGGCGTGGGGCCACCCCTGCTCCCGCAGCTGCGCCGCCCTCCTCCTGGGACGGGACGGGGGCAATGCCCGCCCCTTGGGCCTCCTGCTTGGCGGCACCCCAACCTCGGGAGGGGCGTCACAGATTCACCAGGGGGATCCTAAGGGGGACGGGGGAAGGGCAGTCAGCGAAGCGGGAGGCCGGGCCACCAAGGCAAGACCAGGTGGGGTCCCGGCTGGGCCAGGGAGACAGGACTAGATACACAGGAAGCAGGAGCCGAGGGGCCCGCCCTCCAGGAGACCCCCCCAGGGCCCGCCTCCCCAGGAGACCCCAGGCCTCACCCCCAGGAGACACCCCCAGGCCCTGCCCCCAGGAGATCCCAGGCCCCGCCCCCCAGGAGACCCCAGAGCGCACCCCCCCCCAGCAGGACGCACCCCCAACCACAGCTGTGGTCAACCCTCCCTGACCCTCACCGGTTCAACTGGAAGGCTGGCGCCCCCTTGGGCTGGGGTAGCCCGGGCCGGGATCCACCTCGGGGCTCCTCGTGGTCAGGGGTGGGGGTGGGCGAGTCCCCGAAGGCCCCCAGCACAGTGACCCCCGCGGGGGACAGGTCTGTGAGCGGCTGCTGGCTCTCCTCCTGCCTCAGGGCGCCCTGCTGGCCCGAGGGCCTGCGCCGCTTCTGGCTGCGGTCCCAGCTGGGGTGCAGGAAGGAAAGAGGTGAGCTCAGAGACCCCCCAGAGGGCCTGTCCATCAGGGCCCGCGCCCACACACGCACGCACACATACACACGCGCACACACATACACACGTACACACACGCATGGAAGGCTGGCCCCCCCTTGGGCTGGGGTAGCCCGTGCTGGGATCCGCCTCGGGGCCCCTCGTGGTCAGGGGTGGGGGTGGGCGAGTCCCCGAAGGCCCATGGGGACTCGCGCACACACGCACACACATATACATACACACGCACTCCACACGCACGCACACATACATACATACACACGTACACACACGCATGCACACACGCACACATACATACATGAGCAAACACGCACACATACATACATGAGCAAACACGCACACATACACGCGTACACACACGCATGCACACACATAACACACACACGCATGCACACAAACATGCAGACACATGCACAGACCCATGCACACACATACACACACGAGCACACACATGCACACACACATATGTGCACACATACACACATGCACACACATATAATTACACGTGCATATACATACACATGCATACACACATGCGCATACATGCACACAAGCAGGCACACACACACACACACCACCCCAGAAAACCCCGCCTCTCCCACCCACCTACTCACCCCATCTCTGCTCTTGAGGGTCAGAAACCCACCCACCCGTCCCTTTCATTCCTTACACCTACACCTACAGAACCCGGGCAGTGGGGATAGGGCACTTGCCCCGCCCGGGTTCAGTCCCCGCCACTGCCTGTGCACCCCCAGGTCTGCCAGGAGTGACCCCTGAACACAGGGTCAGGTGGAAGTTCTGAGCAGACAGGTGTCACCCCCAAACGAAGCAAACAAACAACCCGGAAAGCACAGGCCTACGCCAGTGCTGTTGGGGCCGAGAGCTTCCTCAGAAGGTGAGCACATGCTTTGCATGCAGGAGGCCAGGATTTGAGCCCCCAGACCACATGGGCCTCCCCACAAGCCCCCCAACCCCTGCCTCCTACCACCAGGAGCAACCCCCAGGCACCGAACCAGGAGTAGCCCCTGAGATGGGGGTCCCTGAAACTAAAGTAATAAGATACATCTTTTTTTGCTTTTTGGGTCACACGCGGCGATGCTCAGGGGTTCCTCCTGGCTTTGCACTCAGGAATGACTCCTGGCGGTGCTCGGGGGACCATATGGGATACTAGGAATCGAACCCAGTCGGCCACGTGCAAGGAAAATGCTCTATCCGCTGTGCTATCACTCCAGCCCCGATAAAATACTTTTTTTTTTTTGCTTTTTGGGTCACACCCAGCGATGCTCAGGGGTTCCTCCTGGCTGTGCACTCAGGAATTACTCCTGGAAGTGCTTGGGGGACTATATGGAACGCCAGGGATCGAACCCAGATCGGCCGCGTGCAAGGCAAATGTCCTACTCGCTGTGCTATCGCTCCAGCCCCATAAAATACATCTTAAAAGCCGGTGGTTCTCAACCACTGGGTTCATTGAGTGCTGGGGAGGGGGGCGGAAGGGGGAGGGTAGGAACCCACTGATCTCTACCATCCTCGGGACTCTCCAGATGCACGAATGAGTAGCCAGTCCCCCACCCACATAGCCCCCACTGCCCTGCCCACTTCCTGGGGGGACCTGGAGGAGCCATTTCTCTCCTCGGCAGGCGCCTGGCATGCCTGGGGCTAACGATTCTCTCAGTAAAGTGTGAAGGACTGAGTGACCCATTATGAGGTGCGGGGACAGAACACTCCTGACTTCCCCGCCTGCCCAGGCAGCCCTAAAAACGGGAAGGTTGGGGCTGGAGCAATAGCACAGCGGGTAGGGCGTTTGCCTTGCACGCGGCCGACCTGGGTTCGATTCCCAGCATCCCATATGGTCCCCTGAGCACCGCTGGGAGTAATTCCTGAACCCAGAGCCAGGAGTAGCCCCTGTGCATCGCCGGGTGTGACCCAAAAACATGGGGAGGCTACAGGCAGGGGAAAACTGAGGATGGAGGGCAGGAAGGCCCCTCATCACCTAGAAATCCTCCACCTCTCCAGGAACCCCTGAGCATGGGGGGATGAGGGGGAGGAGAGGAGGGAATCTGACCTCCCAGAACTTTCTTTTTCTTTTTTTTTTTTTGTGATTTTTGGGTGACACCCGGCAATGCTCCGGGGTTACTCCTGGCTCTGCACTCAGGAATCACTCCTGGCGGGGGTCAGGGGACCCTATGGAATGCTGGGAATTGAACCTGGGTTGCCCAAGAATGAACCCGGCTTGGCTGCATGCAAAGCCAACACCCTACCCGCTGTGCTATCGCTCCGGCTCCCCCCAGAACATTCTAGCACTGCCAAACTGCTGCCTTTGCTCCTTCCCCGCCCGGGCCTTGTGCCCCTAACCGTCCCCTGGGTGCGGGCCGGCCCACACCAAGCACCCCACTCACCAGAACTTGAAGATGATGCCCGTGGCCACCAGCACGATGATGATGGAGATGGTGATGGTGACGTACAGCTGGGGGTCCACACCTGGCGGGGTTCGGGAGAAAGTCTTAGGGGAGCCCGAGGGAGGAGGAACCAAGAAGGGGCTGGGCTGGGGTCCGGTTGCGGGTTCCCGAAGTGGGAAGCAAGGCCCCCCTGAACCCGCGCTGCGCGGCCCACCTCCTCCTACATCTCAGCAGCTTCCGGCTCCCCTGGATTTCAGCGGCTTTCCACAGATCGCCCTCCCCTCCACTCCCCCTCCACTCCCCCCGTCTCGTGCACGGCTTCCTTGGCCCACACTCAGCAGTGCTCAAGGATCGTTCCCAGCAGCTCTGATCAGAGGACACGGGGGTGAGAGGGGGACGCCGTGAAAGCTGGGGTCAGTCTGGGGAGGGAGCCCAGAGCACTACATCTGAGCCCTGTCTCCAGGTGACGGAGAGGAACCATCCCCCCTGCCCAGAATCCCCAGCGCCAGCCAACGCCATCTCTGCCCTGCAGTTCAGCCCCGGCGTCAGAGCTGCGTCTCCCTCAAAAGCCCCATCTTTGTTTTTTTTTCTCTTTTTACAATTTTCGTTTTCTTTTTTTTTTTTGCTTTTTGGGTCATACCCAATGGTGCACAGGGGTTTCTCCGGGCTCATGCCCCCAGGAATTACTCCTGGCGGTGCTCGGGGGACCCTATGGGATGCTGGGAATCGAACCCGGCCTTGGCGTGCAAGGCAAACGCTGCTGCGCAATCGCTCCAGCCCCCTCAAGCCCCCCATCTTTGGATGGTCAGTCCTGGCAGGAACCCCGACCCTGGATGGAAACTCACTCCTTCTGCCTCGATACCCCGAGGCACGCAGTGTGGTCACAATCGGGATGTGAGGGATGGGGTGGCGGGGCACAGGCCTGCCTCGATGGCCCTGACACTGGGGGAGGAGCCCCAGGGGAGGGGGTTCAAAGAGGGGGGGCGGGTACGCTTCACCTCCCACAGTCTCCCCTCCCCCACACACACCCAGCCTCTCCCACTCACCTTCCCCGCGGCCCCCGAAAAGGAAGGGCCGCAGCGTGGCGGGCGCTTCTCCGAGGATAAGTCCATCCCCATCACCCCGCATGGAGTCGGAGTTGGGGTGCGGGGTGGCCAGCCCGTGCGGGGCCGCAAAGCCATAGTCGTGGGGCAGGAAGCCGGGATTGGCCGAGTTGGGGTCTCCCCCGTCGTCTCGAGACACAGTGGGGCCCCAGACAATGGCCCAGGGGTACTGGGACGAGGGCGGCCCCTCCTCGAAGCCCGAGGGGGTGGCAGGGGGCGCGGTGCCGGGCAGAATCTGCCGCCGGGACCTGGGGACCCGAGGGGAGCGGCTGGGCGGGGGTGCCCGCTCCCAGACGCACACGTGGCGCGGGGCTGAGGGGCCCCCCCGGGCGCAGGGGGGCCGGGCCGGGGTGGGTGGGCTGCGTGGGGAGGGGGAGGAAGAGCCGTGGGTGGCAGGCAGGGGGAGCAGCAGGAGGGGCCAGAGCGGGAGGAGGTGGGAGAGCAGGAGCGCAGGCCTGTGGGGGAGAGGGGGCTGGTGAGGGGCGCGCCCAGCCGCACCCTGGAGCCAGGAGTGAGTGGGGCGTTCCCAGCACCCACCCGGGACTGCCTCCCCCAGGCCTCTGCCAGAGCAACGGGGGCTCTGGGAAGGCTCCCGCCCTTTTTCCCATCTCTCCAGGGTCTTGCCCTCCCCTATGCAAAGCCGTGGGGTGGGCCCGTGGGAGGACCAGGCTAAGCCCCCCAGCCAGAGCAGCCTCTGGCCCCCGGGGCTGTGTCCAGCTTACCACATCCTGGACTCCATGTCCGAGAGCCTCCTCAGTGGCGCCCCAGATCCTCAGCCTTTACTGAGGAAGAAAGGTGGGGGGGTGCGTATCACCACCCAAGGCCACCCTGAGCACCTGCCCGGTGGGTGCCACCAATCCTTCCGGCAACTCTCCGGGGGACCAGGCTGCCCGTGGGGGAATTTCTGCTTAGAAGCAGCCTTTGGGGTGTTGGGGGGTGTCTGTGTTCCAGAAGTGCCTTCCCACTTCCAGTCCCCTGCCTGGCCACGGCTCCCCAACCCCTATTACCACTTGGCTGCCCCCCCAAACCCCACTCCAGGGCTCTCACTTCTGTGGCTTCCGCCCTCCTCACTTCCTCTGCCCACAGTCCCGAAGCTTCCCCTTGGAGCCTAATTTAGAGTCAGAACCTTGTGATTCCTGGAGCACCTACCTCGGTGGCGAGGGAGGGAGTCTGGGAGGGGTGGGGAGGGGAGGGAAAGTCAATCAGAGAAGAAGGAGGTGGGGGGGGGGCGAATGCACAAGGGCTGCGAGCCCCACCTGGCCCCCCTCCGCGCCCCACGTGGAGTGCCAGGTCCAGCTCTCGTGATGGGGCCCCCTAGCAACGTGACTGGCCCCAGGAGTCTTACCTCTGGAGAAGGAGATGGAGGGATGGGGAGAGAGGGAGAGACAAAGAGGGAGGTGGGTGGGTGGGGGGACTACAGAACGGCCCCCCACTGGCTGTTTATCATGAGGCGGGAGAGGCGGGAGGAGGCGCTGGGCGCAGGCCCCCTGGAGGGGAGCACCGTGTCTGGGAGCTGCAGGCTGGGGATTGAGAAGGGACCGCCCTGCCCCCCCACCCCAGGAGGGTCGTGGATTTGAGACTGGCAGGCCCGAGAGAATGAGGGGCCCCCAGGCCTGTGTTCTTGGGCTCTCGGCGGGGATAAGGAGGAAAAAAAATGGGGGGCAGGGCTGAGGAGCACCGTGAAGGGGGTGAAGGCTGAGCCTGGGAAGTGGGGTTCGGAGACGGCAGGGGAGACCTGGGGGTGGGGGTCCCGGGCGCAGAGCGCTAGGGCTAGGGAGAGGGGGCTCGGAGGGAGGACGGGGTACCCCGAGGAGGTCAGGGAGGGCAAGGGGAGCAGGTGCGGGGTCCCAGGCGCAGAGGCAGGAGTGAGGCCCCGGGTGGCAGGACGCGAGGAGGAAGGGGCGAGGCAGGACGGGCGGGGAGGGCAGCGGGGAAGGGGGCCAGCCAGGGGTCGGGAAACAGGGGGGGCTGCAGACGCCGGCGGCAAAATGGAGGAGTTGGGAAGTGTTTCTCCCGGGGCGCGGCGGCGGGGACGGGGACGGCGACGCGTGCGACCGCGGGGCAGCCAAGCGCAGAACGGCCCGCGGGGCGTCGGGGTCCAGGCGGCCGGCTCGCCTCTGGGGCTGGGGCATCGGGGGCCCCGCGTCCCACCTCCAATGAACCCCCCACCGCATCCGCTCCGGCAGCCCCCCGGGCCCCGCGCCCCTCGGTGCCACCCCCTCCAGGAAGCCCGCAGTGCCCGGGCAGGCGAGCCCCCCGCAGCCTCCGCGCTCGCTCCTCACCGACCTGTTGTGTGCGCAGAATTGGCGCTGGGGGGTGGGGCGCGGGGAGCGGGGCGGGGGGCTGCCGGCCCCTTCCCCGGCCGAGCCCCGCGCCCCCCGCTCCCGCGAGGCCCCCGCGCGCCCCGGACCGGGCGAGGGGCGGCGGGGCGGGGGGCGCCGGGAGCCGAGGCGGCGGGCGGTGGCGGGGGGCGGGGGGATGCGGAGGGGACCCCCGAGCCCCGCCGCTGGCGGGATGCGCGGCCCGGGTGGGGGTGGGAGGGTGACCGCTGCGCGGGGCGCGCGCGATGGGGCGCGCGGGGGGCTGCAGGCCGGGGGGCGAGGCGGGCAGGGCAGGGCCCGGCTCGCTCCCGCGGCGGGGGGCGCGGGGTCCCCCGCACTCACCTGCACGTCCCGCGCGGCGGCGACGCGACAGCGGCGGACGCTCGGGGCGGCGCGGGGCTCGGGGGTCGCGATCGCGGGTGGGGCGCGGGGCATGATCGGGGGTGGGCTGGGGGGCTGGCGGGGGGGGGGCGGGCGCCCCGGGCGCTGGGCGGCGGCGGCGGCGGCGGCGGCGGGAGATGCTCGGCTCGGCTCGACTCGGCTCGGCTCGGGCTGCGCTCGGCTCGGCCGGGCTCGGCGAACGCGGGTCCCCGCCTCTCGGCTCCCGCCCGGGGCCACGCACGCTTTAACCCTCCTGCTGCCGCGCCGCGGGAGCCGGGCCCCGCGCCGCTCCGGGGGTCTGGGAGGCTCAGCGGGCGTCCGGGGCGCGCTTCCCCCGGCCCCGGCACCACCGACTCCAGCCACACCCCTGGTCGCCGCCGCCCCCCACCCCCGTCTGCCTCGGCGATTCTGAGTCACCCACGCGGTGCGTCCCCCAACTTTTGCCGCTGGTGGAGTGTGCGCTGTCCCCCCTCCCCGGGGACAGCTGGCACCACCCCCCCGACCTCCGCTTCCACCCCGGGGTTTGCCACTGCGATGCCTTCTCCAGGAAAAGTCAATTTCCCAAATTGACTATATGTTTATATATATGTGTGCATATGTATATATGTGCATATGTATTGGGGAGGGTCACACCCAGCGATGCTCAGGGGTTCCTCCTGGCTCTGCACTCAAGAATCACTCCTGGCAGTGCTCGGGGAGACCCTATGGGATACCGGGGATTGAACCCAGGTCGGCTGCGTACAAGGCAAATGCCCTCCTCGCTGTCCTATCGCTCCGACCCCCAAATTGGCTTTAAAATCAAATCGCTTCCCTGGACTTTTCTAGCCTGTCAAAAAACCCAGACTCCTCTGACTTGTTCTCCTAAATACCCTGGAATATACTTAGATCTCAGCCACTCTAAACAAGATCTGAATTCCTAGATGAGTTTAACCTGCCACCGGGCCTTTGCACTTCCATTCTTCACTGGAATAATCCTTCCAAACTGTTTCACAAGGACTCATGCTCTTCATTGAAATTGTGTATCTTTGGGGCCGGAGCGATAGTACAGTGGGTAGGGCGTTTGCCTTGCACGCGGCCGACCCGGGTTCGATCCTTGGCATCCCATATGGTCCCCCCAAGCACCGCCAGGAGTAATTCCTGAGTGCAAAGCCAGGAGTAACCCCTGAGCATTGCTGGGTGTTACCCAAAAAGAAAAAGAAAAAAGAAATTGTGTATCTTTGCATTATCACTTTCTCTGAACCTCTATAAAAAGCACCCTGGGGTGGCTGAGAGGTCTTCCCACCCTACCCTTCCCCTCTCTGTCACATGACCCTGTTGTATTCGGGTTGCCCCTCCCCTTTTTTTTTCTTTTTGGCTCACACCCAGAGATGCTCAGGGGTACTCCTGGCTCTGCACTCAGGAATTACTGAGTGCCTGGGATCAACCGTGTGCCCACCCACCCCGCTGCACTATCATTCAGGCCCCTCTGGTTGCCCTTATTTATTTGTTTTTTGCTTTTTTGGGGGGCGGGGGGTAACACCCGGCAATGCACAGGGGTCACTCCTGGCTCTGCATTCAGGAATTTCCCCTGGTGCTGCTCAGGGGACCAAATGAGATGCTGGGAATTGAACCCGGGTCGACCGCATGCAAGGCAAACGCCCTACCCACTGTGCTATCGCCCTACCCACTGTGCTATCGCTCCAGCCCTCTGGTTGCCCTTTTATTTATTTATTTATTTATTTATTGCTTTTTGGGTCACACCCAGCAATGCTCAGGGGTTCCTCCTGGCTCTGCACTCAGGAATCACTCCTGGCAGTGCTTGGGGGACCATATGGGATGCTGGGAATCGAACCTGGGTCATCCGCGTGCAAGGCAAATGCCCTCCCCTCCGTGCTATCATCCAGCTCCCTGATTGCCCTTTTAAACCAACACACTCTCCCAACTTCCTCCCCTTTGCTTTTGGCTTTTGCTTCTCTCTCTCCCGCCTGACCTCTAATGCTAGCACTTCCTGGGGCTTAGTCCTTGGCCCTCTTTTCCAGAGGCTCAGATCAGTGATGTCATCCGCTCCCAGGGCTTAAATACTATGTAAATGTCAGCGAGTCCTAAATTTATACCGAGCTCCAGACTCATTTATCCAGAGCTTCCTTGACATCTCTCCTTGGGTGCCTAATAGCCATGCAAAGCTACTGCGACTGAAAGAGACATCTTGAATGTCTCCCACCAATCCATTTCTCTGCCGGTGGGTTCCCCACCACCCCCATCCTGGGACTTGATGATTCTGAGTTGTTCAGGTTAAAAGCCCAAAAGATCTCTTTCTTCTCCTTCCTTTTCTCACTGGCTTCGGCCCGGGATCCCATTCACCTCCAAGTCTTTTGAGTTGAGTCTGAAATATATTCCTGTGGGGCTGGAGCAATAGCACAGCCGGTAGAGCGTTTGCCTTGCACGCAGCCGACCTGGGTTCGATTCCCAGGATCCCATATGGTCCCCTGAGCACCGCCAAGGGTAATTCCTGAGTGCAGAGCCAGGAGTAACCCCTGTGCATAGCTGGGTGTGACCCAAAAAGAAAAAAAATTCCTGAATTTACCTTTTCCCTCCAGGGCTGGAACGATAGCACAGCGGTAGGGCGTTTGCCTTGCACGCAGCCAACATGGCCGACCCGAGTTCGATTCCTCCACCCCTCTCGGAGAGCCCGGCAAACTACCAAGAGTATCTCGCCCACACGGCAGAGCCTGGCAAGCTACCCGTGACGTACTCGATATGCCGGACACAGTAACAACAAAGTCTCCAATGGAGACGTTACTGGGCCCGCTCGAGCAAATCGATGAACAACAGGAGGGCCTTTACTTTACTTTACCTTTTCCCTCCACCTTTGTTGTCCTCCTCCTGGGCCAGCTAGCTTCTCTGATCTATTTATCTATTTTTTTATTATTTTGTGTCACCCCCAGCAATGCTCAGGAGTTACTCCTGGCTCTACACTCAGGAATTACTTCCGGCGGTGCTCGGGGGACTCTAAGGGATGTTGGGGATCGAACCTGGGTTGGCCACATGCAAGGCAAGCACCTTCCCTACTGTTTTATCTCTCCAGCCCGCTGCTTCTCTGATCTTTTGTTGGTTTGGTTTGGTTGTTTTTTTTGTATTTTTGCTTTTTGGGTCACACCCGGCAATGCACAGGGGTTGCCCCTGGCTCTGCACTCAGGAATTACTCCTGGCGGTGCTCAGGGGACCACATGGGATGCTGGGACTCGAACCTGGGTTGACTATGTGCAAGACAAATGCTATCGCTCTGGCCCCTTGGTTTGGTTCTGATGATTATTTTCTGAGCCAGCCCTAGTGGTGCTCAGGGCTTACTCCTGGTTCTGTGCTCAGGGATCACTCCCGGTTGTTACACAAAGGACCACATACATGCTGGGGTTCAAACCTGCCTGCAAGGGCAATGCCTTCCTATCTCTCCCACCCCAGCTTCCCTCATCTGACAGAGAGCAATACCTCAAGTTGGGCACTTCCTTTCTGCCCAGTCCTTTGCTAACGGGTCTTCATAACATCTAGGAATAGCTCTTGAGGGGCTGGAGCGATAGCACAGCGGGTAGGGCGTTTGCCTTGCACTCGGCTGACCCGGGTTCAATTCCCAGCATCTCATATGGTCCCCCGAGCACCGCCAGGAGTAACTCCTGAGTGCAGAGCCAGGAGGAACCCCTGAGCATCGCCAGGTGTGACTGAAAAAGCAAAAAAATAAAAATAAATAAATAAAATAAAAGGAATAGCTCTGGAATCCAGATCCTATCACACTCTTTGCTGCTTTACATAGCCGAGTGGCCTTCTACTGTAGCACTGTCCCACCGGCCTCCCATTGTTCATGGATTCACTTGAGCAGGCACCAGTAAAGTCTCCATTGTGAGACTTGTTGTTACTGTTTTTGGCATATTGAAAAACGTCATGGGTAGCTTGCCAGGGTTTGCCGTGCGGGCAAAGCTTTCCAGGCTTTCCGAGAGGGGCAGTGGAATCGAACTCGGGTCGGCCGCATGCAAGGCAAACGCCCTACCCGCTGTGCTATATAAATTCGGTCTTTTTTTTTTTTTTGCTTTTTGGGTCACACCCGGTGATGCATAGGGGTTACTCCTGGCTCTGCACTCAGGAGTTACTCCTTGCAGTGCTCAGGGGACCATATGGGATGCTGGGAATCGAACCCGGGTTGGCCGCGTGCAATGCTATCTCTCCAGACCCTAAATTCGGACTTTTTAGGAGAGACCCAGCCCTTCAACATGGCTTCATAAATAATGTTCCTGGGACTGCGGAGATAGCACAGCAGGGAAGGTGCTTGCCTTGCATGCACTCGACCCTGGTTCAATTCCCAGCACCCCCTGGCACCCCCCCATACATACATGAACATTGACAGAACCTTGACAGGTATGGCCCTGGGGACCCCTAAGTGCTAGTCAGGTGAGCCTGGAGATCCCTGGCAGATGGAATTACTAGGAGGGGCCCCAGACCCCCCCCCCCGAGTACTGCTTAGAAAACCCTCCAAAATGGAGTATTCCTGACACCCCAAACTTTTTTTTTTAATTCCTATTTATTTTTGTAATTTTTCCGGTTTGGGGGCAGTGCTCAGGGCTTACTCCTGGCTCTGTGCTAAGGAATCACTCCAGCTGGGGTTCGAGGGACCATACGTAGTACCAGGGATGGAACTTGGTAGGCTGCATGCCAGGCCAGTGCTCTTGCCACTGTGCTCTCTCTGGTCCTAGATGGAACTTGTTTTTTGGGGGTGGGTCCACCTGGCTCTGCATTCAGGAATCAATCCTCGGAGGGGCTCCAGGGACCTTCTGCAGTTCTGGGAATTGGACCTGGGTTGGCTACATGCAAGGCAAGTACCCTTTCTGCTCTATCTCTCCAGACCCAGATCAGATTTTTTTTTTTGGGGGGGTGGCACACCCAGTGATGCTCAAACCTTACACATGGCTCTGTGGATCATTCTTTGGGGACTCGGGGGACTGCATGAAATGTGAGGGATCGAACTGGGTTGTCCACATGAAAAGCAAACACATCACCCATCCCCCAGATCAGACGTCTTGTTTTGTTTTGTTTTTTTGGGTCACACCCAGCA